AATATTTTATTTGTATTTATTAGTTAAAATTATAAAACCTGAAAATGAGATTTAAGATTCAAAGAGTAATGAACAATGTTCTTTTTTCTTTTTGGTCAATGCCTAGATTCCTGTTACGTATCCCACAACGGCGCCCGAAATTGCTTTACCAGAATTAGACGGTAAAACGGCAAAAATGTATAGAGGTGGCAAGATCTGCCTGACTGATCACTTCAAGCCATTGTGGGCTCGCAACGTTCCCAAGTTTGGCATCGCTCATGCAATGGCTCTTGGTGTAAGTTAAATACTTGATTGCGCTTAATAATTAAACGTATAGTGAAAAAGACTTGTTTATATATAAATCTTTATATTAAAATAATATTCTCATAGAAGGTTCTAACACCAAATTTTTTTTCTTTTTTTTTTTTTTTAGCTGGGACCATGGTTGGCAGTGGAGATTCCAGACCTTATAGAAAAGGGCATCGTAGTTCACAAGGACGAGGAAAAGAAAACGTAAATCGGCAATGCGCAGGATAACGATAATAACAAAATGCGATCGTTGAATAAGTTATTTTTTATGCCTACCGCTCGGAAAGAAGAATTTATACAGTACGTTAAGTTTTTACACACGGTATAGAGTATTTACATTGTTCAAATAAAGGCTATTTAATACAGGCTATTTGTCATCGTCGTCCAGTTTTATCTTCTTGCTGTCTTTGATTATCTGATCGAGCCTGTACAAGTCCTTGAGCGACACCTGTCCCGTACCCCTCTCGAGAGGCCTCGGTTGAGATGCGTCCGGTTTCCATCCTAACATGTACATTATCTGAAACGTGGCGGGAACGAATGCGGTGCTATCTTCCCTCGTCTTTCCGTAAAGCTGCTTGTATATAGAAGCAGCGGCGATCAACGTATCCCTCGGTAAATGCAAATTACGATTCCTGGCCGCATTGTTCTCGGCCATTCCTAGACGAATAAAAATTGCGTGATACAACTATGGACCTGTTGTATAAATTTTTATTTAGGCAAGAATAGATAAATTTTGTAATATTATTCACCTTTCAGATCCCACATAAGCTCGAACATGCTCGGGTAACCGATGACTATCTCGTCGGTATCAATAGTCAACATAGTAAAATTCGCTCTCGTTAGTAGAGACCCGATATCCCTGATTTCCACGAATGGCGAGATGTGCGGCGAGATTCCACCGTGCCTCTCGAATTCAGCTAATTGCAAGGAACTTCTGTATTATCAGAATGAATATCAGAAATAATAAACTCAAGCAAAGACACTCCGGAAGGTCCTCGATCTAAATCCTGGCAATGTCGCCTTTACCTCAACTCGTAAAGCGTATCGCCGCCAAATACAGCCGCCAGGAAGACTCCGTCGTTCTTCAGACTGCTGTTGATACGTCTGAAGCATCCGGGAAGATCGTTGACCCAGTGAAGACTCAGACAACTGATCACCAAGTCGAAACTGTCCGGCTCGAAGGACAGATTCTCCTCGTCGATGACTTCTCTCTTGACTTTCACACCCTCCGTGGTCTCGGCCTGCCGCAGGAAACCCGGACTCATGTCGGCCAGCACCAGCTCCTCCACCGACTCGTTGAGAATCCGCTTGGACACGTGACCCCGGCCACATCCCAGATCGAGGGCCCTACCGAACTTTCGTTTGATATCGAATATTCGATCGGCCAGCCTGTCGCCCACCTCGTCCTTAATGTAGTCATACAGCTGGACGTTGGTGTCCTTGGCGGCGCGTTCTCGCTGCAACAGCTTCGCGTTCCTGTCGAAGACGTTCATCGGGCTGTCAGGTGGCAACGTGGACATGGATGCGACATTACAAGCACCGTTAGGATTGTACCTAGGACTCAGCAGGTTCAGCTTGCCGTGCAATAACTGGCTTGCCCCGCGGAACGGAATCTTTGGCGTCATTTCTCGATCGCGCTACGATCTCGATTAACTCTTCTATCTTTAATTAACTGATTAACTTTTCCTCTTTTATAATATATGTATCTGTTAGACACAATTCTACCTTTTTCCTCCTACTAAAACTTTTTCTAATCTCTTTTTATGTGAGATATTTCACTATCATGATTAAATTGTTGATACTCTTCTAGATATCGAGGACGATAAGTCCGACTGGAGCTGCTCCGGTTTATTCTCTCCGCAGGGATCAAGAGATTGCGGTTAGGAATAACCTTAACTCGCTTCTAACCTGCAAGAAGAGATTAACGTCATCGATGCAAGATGCAATACAAACGAAATAAGATTTATAATATAAATAATATAATAAATTTATAATAAAATATATAATAATTTACAATAAAATTAATATAAAATTTATAATAAAGTATAAATTTTAAAAATAATTGTCATCCATCTTTAATATCAATTAACGCTAATTATTAAAGTGATATTAATTATTACTAAAATTAATTACAGTTATTGAGAATAATATTAGGTTTTTTACATCTGTTGTCGCAAATAAGTATTTCCGAGTACATTCCGGCAGTTTAAAATGGTTTAAAAACACCGCCATGTTAGGAAGTTACGCGGGTGCCAATATGGCTGTCTTCAGTCGCTTTTCGGAGGCGCTGCGGTGCGAGACTTTCTTTACGGTGCCGACGTCTGTACTTCGCGTCGCGTTTGGCGAGGTACCGCGTTTTGTATCCGGCAAAATTTACAGAAATCCGTCGGATTTCTAGCTAGGAAGATGGTTCAGAAAAAGGTAAGATCATCGAACTGTCGTGCGCGAATAATATTTCCGTCGAGCGGCATCGACAGCGACGAGTATCCGCGTTCGAATCTCTGGCATGTTTCTCCAGCGTGTGACCTGAAAATATGTTTTCGTTCCGAAGTAAATTGATTCAGTAAACTGTGTAACGTGACAATTGTGGTCCTTCGAAATTCTATTTCTGCGTATAGCAACGATCAAACAGATCGATTCGTTTATGTGATATCGATTTAATGTTTCATAACCTAAATTTACAATGCACAGTAATTTCGTGGATCTCGACGCTAAACGAATATTTAAACGAATGGTGGCCAGAAATAAGCATTTAATTTTTATGGGATGAATCGTTGGATTTCTAAAAGACGTTTCTTGCATGAAAGTGGCAATAATAGGTTTAATCTTTCGTCTGTATACGCTTTTTTTGTACCCTCGGAGTGAACACGTGGGTCTGTCACGTTCGACGCTATTTATTCCTATCAGTCTTTTTATTTTTTTTTAAATCTGAAAAAATTTGTGAAACATCTGTCTATACATTGTAGTTGACGATTTTATAGTCATTTTAATGAACATCGTTTACTTAATATTTTCTGGCAGTCTTGCGAGTTTTACAGTTACCAGCAAATATTTTGGACTCTGTAGACCCATATACAGATGGAAAATTAATTTAGCTTATATATTTTGTTAAAATATACCTGTGTATATCATGAAAAAACTTATTAAAATTACTCGATTATATTATGAATATATTGATTGTTGATTCCTATTAATTTTCCTTTTCAATTTCAGCCGAAGAAGAAGGTTGGGAAGAAGGTAGCTGCCGCGCCGTTGGCAGTTAAGAAGGTTGAACCGAAGAAAGTGACCAATCCACTCTTCGAAAAACGGACACGCAACTTTGGCATTGGTAAGTCAAAGTAATTTTACTGATTTCTAGTTAATAGTTTACAACTGTATGGAATAGCCGCATGTTACTGTTGATAATCTGTTAAAATTTAGGTCAGGATATTCAGCCGGCTCGTGATCTCAGCCGCTTTGTAAGATGGCCGAAGTACATTCGCATCCAGCGCCAAAGGTCTGTGTTGCAGAAGAGGTTGAAAGTGCCACCGACGATAAATCAATTTACTCAAACATTGGATAAACAAACCGGTAAGATGTACATTCCACGCATCCATGATTTAAAAAATTATTAAATTCTATACATGTACATAAAATAAAATATACAATAATATTCTTATGTTGTTGTAGCTACACAGTTATTCAAGGTATTGGAAAAGTATCGTCCGGAATCAGCAGCCATGAAGAAGGCAAGGTTGAAGGCGAGAGCCGAGCAGAAGATCGCGAAGAAGGAAGACACGCCGACGAAGAAACCAAACGTCATTCGCAGCGGAACCAATACGGTGACCACGCTGGTGGAGCAGAAGAAAGCTCAGCTGGTCGTTATAGCTCACGATGTTGATCCTATTGAGGTTAGTTATATGTATAAATTTATAAATTCTCAGCAGATTTCTATTTTGCAAGATTTCTCTTCTATTCAACGAATGATGCTAAATTTCTTCACCTGAGGATACAAATTTATAATTTTATTTGTATTCATAGGATGATATATGACATCTGACTAACATTTTATATTATTATATATATTTGTATGCAAGAAATTATGTGTGCCAACCTAATTGGTTCTTTTTTTTATTGATGCAGATCGTATTATTCCTTCCTGCCTTGTGCCGCAAGATGGGCGTACCATACTGTATTGTTAAAGGCAAGGCACGTTTGGGACGTCTGGTTCGACGTAAGACTTGCTCAGCAGTTGCTCTTACTCAGGTATGTATATACAATTTTTGTAATGTGTATTTAATTTGACCATATGATGTGAAAATACAAGAGCCAATCCAATGAAACATCGTGATATTTCAAAAAATTTCTGATACACACTTACAAAAGTCTGATTCTTCCACTTTTATTTCAGTTTTATTAAAGTATGTCGTTATTATTTCAGGTGGATTCTGGCGATAGAGCCAACTTCGCAAAGATTGTCGAAGCCATTAAGACGAACTTCAATGATCGATATGACGAAATCAGGCGTCACTGGGGTGGTGGTTTACTGGGAAGCAAATCTGCGGCCAGGATAGCGAAATTAGAAAAAGCTAAGGCCAAGGAACTGGCACAGAAACAAGGTTAACATTATTGCCCGTCATTTACAGGTTACATAAAAAAATAAAGGATGAAATACATCTGGTATCTGTATTTATTTCATAAAATATACCTACATATTTTATGCTTCTCCTTTCATTTTTGTATAAAGGGTCTTTGTTATCTTAAAATAAGAGAGAATTTCTAAATCAACTTATATACAATGATATCTAATATCCTCAAATTCGTTTCTTGATGAGTTTCTCTAGCCTCTTAATTCTTCCAGCTTCATGTTCTGGACTGTTATGTACTACGTGACTTTTCGTAGCGTTTGCGGCGTCTGTGTTTTCAGATTGCTTAAATTGCTCGAGCAATAGAACTTGATCTGTTTTTTTCAATCCCTATAGAATACATATTGATCTTATTAGATACTCAATTAAAAATATAATAGATTATATATAAAAAAAATTTAGTTACTGCAAAAGTTACCTTCATATCTAAAATTTTTTGAAATTCTGAAGACTGTAAGTCAGGCAAGCGTACATTGCACTGTTTTACGAAGTCACTTGGAGATTCAATTGGGGACATTACAATCTTCAATATCATTTCAGCATTTGCCATACCTTTGACCACAACCTATATAATAAATAAGATATACATTGCATATATTGTTTGATATTTATACTATCTATCTTGTAAAGTATTCAATTACTTTGGTATATGTTACTGGAGCTTTTCTCTGTATTTGATAACCCGTCGATGGAAGATCCAGCAAGGCCGTTTTCAACATGTGGACATCCAACAACAGTTGTTCCGCGCCGACGGCGTTTAATGGCTTGCACTTAAATAATTGCTGTACTAATTTTGCTATGAAAGAGCTGAAACAAAGCATCGAATATAAAAAAAATCTTGAAAAATATTTCGCGTAAATATGTATATGTCACGACAAATGTTTTACCTAGCAAATTTGACACAGAGCTGTGTGAAATATTTTCTACAAGATGATAATCTATCTCGTATGGTCGGTATTGTTTGTCGAAGGTGCGCTATTATCGTATTAACATAATTACTCTGATCACCCACGACTTCCACAGAACTCCATTGCACCTGAAAAAAAAAAAGAATCACTTTTTTATTATACGTCATAATATGACATTAACACTATTATTAATTGTATATTATTTTTATAATAGCATAAGATGATATTAATTTTATATTGTAGGATAATAATATATTTGAATTGTGTGCAATTAATATACTATTGATAATCACAACTTTTTTTTATACTTTACCTTAGTCATTGCAGTCAATGCAGATTCACACGCTGCTTCCAGATCTTGAACCAGTAACTGAATACAATTAGAAATCACGCTAGAAACAAATGGTAGAAATTAATAAATCAACAAATTTCTAAAAGTATATAAAATTAAGAGAAAAAATAAGACATACTTATGGAAGATATCCTGTTCTTGAGACAAATTTATTTTATCCGAACAGCATTCATCTGTCTTCTCACGAAGTTTCTCTTCTAATTGCTGTGTCGTTTCTAAACAATATTCAGCCGTTGTCAAAATACTGAAAAAAAAGCATATTTTAATAAATAATAATTCACTGTGTTCTGTGGAACGGAAATAAAGAATAACAAATGTACTTACCAGCATATACGAGATTGCTCCTCTTTACTAAATCTGGCAGTTTCTCCTTCCTTCAAAAAACTTTGGAAATTTTGAATAAAGCCTGACGTTGATAAATCTCGGAAGTCACGCGTGATATTGCTCATACTGGTGCCAATTCCTGCGCTGCCTCCGATTCTATAATGATTACATTAAGATACATTAAGTTCAATTAAAATATACGTACATAAGTTCTGATTTACATTTAATTTTTACACTTACTTGGGTAAATTATTCTGTAAGATCTTAACTGCGTATTCCCGTAGGTACTTCTGAAAAGTCTCGGCGAGACTCAGCATAATTAAACCGGTGCTGAGTTGCGTACATTGCACCATGCACTTCTTGTAAAATACAAACAGATCGGCACACGAGCTCAGGACACTGCTTGGCCCTTCAATGCCGTCAAATTCCTTAGCACCTGGCGGTTGCGTTTTAGCATCGGACACGAACTTATCCATCAGATCTGCCAAATTGCGATCCAAACTTTCTATATAAATGTTCAGGTATGGCTCGAAGCATCTTCCTATTAACTTTTCGAATGGAGACGGCCTCGGCTTTTCATTTTCAACCTATATGCAAGAGAACGATGTACATTTTTAACATTTTATAATAAAAACATAGTTAAACGTAGACTAAACAGTTTTGATACCTTTTCATCTTCTTCAAAAGGATTCCCCGGTACCTTTTCCGCAACATCATTACTGACTGTTACTGACTTAGCATCCGTGGTCTCCAAAGTACTGCCGATAAAACGCTTCGACAGTAGCGTCTCGAAATTACTGGTTCTTTGAATCGCGTAAAGCAATAACTTAACGTCTATTTCATTACGTCTCTTGTTCATCAATTTTGTGAGATCTTCACGTGTGACATGGCAGAATTGTACAGCTATTCGCTCGGAAATTTCCCAGTCCTGGGGAAAGATCGTACCGAACTTTGACTCAAAGTCCAGCAGATGTTTCTTGATCCACCCGTATCTTCGATCTATCTTATCCAACCAGGCGAAATCCTGATTCTCATCGAACAAATGTGCGTATTCTTGCAATTGGATATTTACAAACCAGACGAGCAGATCTTTCCTTTGAAGAAGAAATGACATTTGAGATTGAAATTCTATCATTACTCGTAGAATAACGTTACAAATATCTGTATAATATGCATACTTCACTTTAGGGTGTAAGACTGATAATACTAAACATCCTTCCGTCAACTGATTGAAATGCTTTGGATTCTGGCCGGAAAAGGCCTGTTTGAAATCCGCTGTAATCTGCTGGGCCAACTCATCCTGGATCTGGCGTACCTTTTGTAGACCAAGGAAAGCACATTAAAAGAATCAGTTCTATCAATTATATCAAAGATACAACTTGCGTCCTTACTTGATCAGACAACTGCTTCACTTGCGGTATATCCATGTAGCTGTTAAAATGCTGCATCACTTCCATCACTGCTTGCAACGGTAAGATAATTTCTCCATATTGCTTCTTCTGCGTTAATACTCTGAAGTAAACCAAAAGGTACAGATTTTATAATTTCGAACAATGTCTAAATAATACTCTTAATATGCAATATGCGTATACTTTAGGTTATCCACTCCATCCACAAGCATGTGCAAATGGTTCAGCGCCGTTATCGAGGCAGTAAGGTTCTTCTTGGCGAAATCCAGCTGTTTGATGTCCCTCGTAATCTCCTTCACCACTTCCTCGGACTGCTCCGCCTTGTCCTTTATGTCCTTTATATGGACAAATAGCTGCCTTATCACCTTCTGTGCATCTTCCAACGCCGCTCTACCATCTTGGCCCACGTTCGTCTGACCACGCACCACTGACCGTATCTCTCTATCTATAGTATGTATCTTTTTTTCTATTTTATTCACCACTTCGTCAATATTTGACAATGACTGTTCCGAGGGAAATAACGTGTTTATATAGTCCACCACGTTGAAATTGGGTTGGTCTAACGGATCAGTGATAGTCAAGACCTGATAGCAAGAAAAACAGTGTTAGGCTTACAAAATTTCGTTAAAAAAAAACAAACAAACAAACAAAAATATATCTCACAGATGTGATAATACGCAAAATCATGGCAAGTCGCTCAAAATCATGAACGTTAAAAAAGTCGGTTCAGGGAAAGGTAGGCGTTGAAAAGCGGAGCATTTTATTGAACAGGAATGACACATCGCGCGCATACAAAAGGATCGTGAGTGTTTAAGTAAATTTTGCGTGGATCTTGAGGAGAAAGCTCCGCAAGGGGAGGAGGCGAAAAGGACCCGCGGACTAACCTGCTCGATCACGCTCTGCACGTTCGGCGGGAACGTGTAGACCGTAGAGCGGAGCTCCTCCAGCTCGTCCTCCTCGTGATTGTCCATCGCGCTACGCGAACGGGCATGGGCGTACTTTTTACGCGAGCCTCGCGCTATATCCGCGCGCCATGCATGCGAATCGCGACGAACATGCCGAACGTGGATGTGGCAGGTGACATGTCGATGACGTACGCGCCGTACGCGGTACGCGCGAGCGCGACACCAGTCTGGTGCACCACGAAGCGGAGTCAGCGGAGAACGACGAACTGGGGAATCGGGGAACTGTCGTCCGCGGGAGACGCGCACTGGCGATGGGCTCGGCAAGTTTTGCTACTTTTAGTGGTATTTATTTTCAAAATTGTCTTTATTTTCATAACAAGTGCTGTTGTAGCATTTTAATTTTATTCAGTTTTGTGTACGAAAAAGGGTAAAATCTTCATTTAAATATTAAAACTCCATCTTAATAAATAAAGAGAGAATACAAATAAAAATAAAAACATGATACCAATTATTCGCATTTTTTTACTATAACGTGAAAGTGTGCAATACATATTTGAGTTAAACTGCATTTTATTAAGATCTTCGTCTTTATTTAATCTCATGCGCACATATCATCCCACTAACAAATTCTGCATCTCTTACAGATTCGTAGATCCCACTTTTGGCGTACTATAATAAATATTCTGTGTTGTACTAAAACGTTCAGTGGATTAAATTGCAATGAAATAATTAAAAAGCTAGGTGGAAGAGGCGGAAGCTGTTAATTAAGCGTCAACATTGGAGAGTATATAATGTTTATTATTACTATTACATAAATTCAAATTATATATTTATATAAATACAAAATATAGTGTGAAAGCATATCTTAACTAATATATATATCCAAAAATGGACTTAGATGAAAATTAACACTTGTGAATTCATATGTTTTTTATGTAAGAAGATAAACAAACACACATTTAGGGGTGTGGAGTGCAAACTTGAAAAATAATATTGAGTTGTTGGAAATGAGACAAGTCCATTCTTAATAATATATTCACATCAGTTATTTACATATATAATTGATAGACATCAACATAAATAAAACTATATGTAAATGTACCATTTTTTTTTCTAAATTCATCACGACATATTCAGATAGCATTTGTTATCATAGACAATCACAGTCTTACAAGTGTAAAAAAGTTTCTAATTGCGCGTGGTATTATCAATGTGAATCATCTTCGGTATAACTTAATTGTATTTCGCATCATTAGAAACGCTATATAACTATTAAGTGTACAAGTTGTCTAATTCAAATCAAATATTTTATAATGGATGTAAACACATCATCCTACAGTTTTCAGTACTCAATAATGACCCATTCTCTATTTTTTTTTGTCTTTGTATTTGCAATATCGGCCGTACTCAATATTTTACCATTTTCGATAAACTTCCCAATAATATATTCCTGTAAAGAACATTTATACGCTGTAAATTTAAAGCTAAATAAGTGTCAATATATAGTCAATATAGTAACTGTATACATATATACAGAATATCCAAACTCTATGGAAATATAATTTTCTTGTTGACATGGAATATCTCCTGGACAATAATATAATTCACAACCGAGAAATAAGAATAAGAAGAAGATAACGATAATGACGCCAAATAATGGTGATGTAATAATGATTTGGTGAATAAAATATCATTATAAAATGTGTAATAAGAGGATATAATATATTATTACAAATTACTTACATGTTTGAATTCAGCATTAAGCAACATATGTATACACCTTCCTGTAAATCGTAGAATGTATTAGTTTGTATTTCAGTAAATATTAGCGTCAATGTATAACATGCATTACATACAAATCTTCCTCTGTACGAGCCAAGTACTCTCGTTCGATTAAGCCTTCGATACGTTTCTTAATTATTACAGGTGAAGGCAAAAATCGACCTCTTAACTGTTCTGTTACCTCTGTTACCAGTATATTATGCTAATAAAAGAGAAAATAAATGATATATATTGATTATGCTCTATATATTCTACACATATTATAGCTTATCTCGAAAAAAACAAATATTTTTTTACGTTCGAAAAATATGTATCAATGAATTAACCGTGTACAGTGAACTTATATTTATAAGAAATTTCAAGTTACATACAGGCATACACTTTCGGGCTTTCATAATTCGTACGATGGCTGCTTCGATCTCGTGTTTCCGGTCTTCATCGATTTTATTGCGCGTCTCTATTCTCTCAGGTTCGGATTCTCCCTTTGCGGTTACGGTCTGGATCTTTACTCTTAACAAAAGCGATACAAACATTCAATAAAAGATGGTTATTTACATCACATATATTATTAACACATTTGCAGTTACTAAACTAACGTAATTTTATGTCACTTTTAAGATTTGTAGCCAATTGTCCTTGATGTAATTTTGAGTCATTTTAAAATGTAGTTTGTTGCCGCTCGTATAATTTAACGTTATTTTTTTTTTTTAGGAAAGCACATGATTTTATGATTCGTATTTATGATTACTGCAGCTATATAACAATAAATTGATTTCATCAAAATGAGCATTTAAACGGAATTAAAAATAGTTTGGATCCGAAAATGAAACAAATTTGCACGTAGCTCTCAGTACAGTCACGCGCTAGAATCGCCAGCTGCGATAGTGTTATGTATCATTTATTGCATAAAAATATAATACCTATGTAATTTACTGTTAAAACTGTCGTTCACACAGAAACAATCCGTAGATTCAATTGCCTTGGTACGAGGATGTTTAAGTAAAATTCTTTGTGTAACTTTACCCATGGAAAGAGATTGCAATGCTCTGACCAAATCCCTCTCTGGAATATCGGTTTCACCTTGAATTTCCTACACAATATTCATACATATATATATATATATAAATTATAAACATTTTTTATTCTTCATGTAACATATGTAGATATGAGATGAGTAATAAGCTGCTTAAACTCATATCAAAACTCACCTCATATGTTAACCCTTCTCTTTTATTGAACAGCATTAACACACACATTTGGTAAGTGGAAACTTGTATTATGTGCTTTCGTGGTGCACTACACATGCTGCTTCGCTGGCTTACTAAGCCGCTGCTTGCGCTATCATTCCCAATAGAACTCAAAGATGATGGAGTATTCAAGCCTCCGCAATTACTCTCTTCTCTTCGTGGTCCATAAAATACAGCGTTTAGATCAGCAGAACCTGTACAAATTTTTATCATTGCACTCATTATATTACTAAATGCTTAAGTAAAAACAGATATTGATAAAGACATAAAAATAATAACTCACCTAATTGTGGCTGTAACGTTAATTGTCGACCGCTTTGTTTAGCTAGGTAGAAGCGCCGGAAGGCATCAAAGGCATCACGCGGAGCAGTGGGCATACTGCATTTTCGAGTGGCTGATTGCATTGGCCAGAAACCAGTTGTGAGCACTCGGACACTTAGATCCACACCATGTAGATTTGTCTTTATGAAACATACACAGATAAAACATAGAATAATAATCTATATCTATGATATACGCATAAATACAAATTTTATAAAATGTTTTAATTAAACATAACCAGAATATTACGTGTTAACAATATTTTCTGTAACTTATACACTAATTTATATTTTTATTTATACATATGGAAATACTCAAATTAATATTTATATAAAATCTTAATATCAAAATTATAGAGCATTTAAGATATACTCTGTCATAATAAAATCTTTTATTAAATTTTCTTTATTTTTAGCTGGTCTATGTTTTATTATATTATTTTGATACTTACGCCAGATGTACGAACATGATCCTTAAATTCATCCATAATAATGTTGCTGACTGTTAAATCCTTAAACATGTCTTCTAACTTTGATGTGAACAGATATCCACATTCAGTCTAAAAAAATAATCAAAAAATATGTTTTTAACTTCTTTTAATATAAAAATGTAAGCAATACACCCGTTTCAGATATGAACAAAACTATTTTGATCTAGAATATCATTATATCTAGTTTCTAGTTCTCACCTTAAGTTTGGATATCATATTCTTTTCACTATCATCTGAAACAGACTTATTCAACAATAATCGTTTGGCTAAGTGTTTTTTATAGTACTGTTCAAATATATCCTTTTCTTGTAACAAACGGAATAAAACCATAGTTTTATCTAGGATTCCTTCAATCTCCTGCTCTGTCATCTAAAACCAAATATATTCATGTATCGAAAATCATACGATATGTAACAATGCAATTATACACATAATACTAACTCCTTTAACGCCTTTCTTCAATTTGTCGTCGATAAATAGCGACAGATATTCCGGGCTTTTAGGATTCGAATTAAGGAAGTTCTCAAAATCTGATACTATCATCTGTTTATAATTTTTGTCATTATTGAAAGAATAACGTAGAAAATGATCAAAGCGATCTTTTAGATCTAACAAGTTTTGGACGTAAAGAACGGCATTTGTGGTTGATTCATGCTCTTCTTGCACTAACGCGCGGCCCTGCTCTCTGAGGAACTGAGATACACAGTCGCACACAATGCGAAATCCGTCTGATACTCTCGAAAATAGTTTATACATTTTACCAAGATCTTCCGTTTTCTGATTTTTGAGCATCTGTGCTACACGACTGTTTTCCATCTGTCAAACAATAAGAGATGTTAAGGTATATAACACATAATATATAATATGTGCTAAACATTCCAGCAAACACAGAAGACACCGAGTGCGCAATTTGATATCAAATTGCGCACTCGGTGTCTTCTGTGTTTGCTGGGATGTAATTATATAACACATGATATGTATTTATAATAAGTTTAGTCGTCCATTAATACAGGGGATCGATCATGTATCTTTTCCCCTAGGACGGAAACGTGAAAATTGAAAAGTTTATCTCTTCCTATTCAACACCAATGAAAAGAGATAGTTACATGAAATTTTTTACTTTTCACGTTTCCGTTCTAAGGAAAGGGTTACATGATCGCTACCCAGATCGTAAATAAACACACCTCAACAATGGTTTTCATGTGCACTTTGATTAACTCTTCTTCTACAACTTTTACTATCCGTGATTCAGTTGATTCATCTAAATAATGTTTTGCCCTTTCAGATTCTTCGCGGATTCTAGCTTCAACCTTTTCTATATATTCCGATGCACTATTTTCTGTTAGCAATTTTTGAGATTCCCCCTGAAGAAAATTTTGCAAGTTACATATGTGCATGTAAGAATATTGTACGTATCTCATACTCTGGACACTCACTCTATAAAACTCAGCACTTTGTTGTAAAAAAGGCCTTTCAAAATCTTCCTCATAAACTTGGCGATTGTTAATTCCAAGTGTAATTAACATTTGGCAGGCATTTTTTATAGCGCTACGATCTACATCTACAACTTCTCCTCTTCTTTCCCTCGCAATCATACCTAATAATGTTTCCCGTAAATGTTCTTTAACACATTCATATCTGACTATCTAAAAAATTTATAAGAAACTCGTCAATATTAAACATACTTATAACAATCATTTTAAATAAATTACAGCAACTTAACGTTGCAAAATCAACAATCATATGAAATAATAGTTTATTACAATAGAACTTTGTGACTTCTAAATTCTTTTTATAAGACAATGCAAATTAAAAATGAAAATTACCTGATCTCGAAAAATAATTAACCCAAGATTATACACATTGTCTACATTATTCTGTTGAAAATTATACACTCTATCCATGTACAACAAGATTTGACTGATCATCTGCATTGACGTTTGATGATTTTTCCATGCTAGATTTAAAGTTTGTAGGAAGTTGTTATGGAAGGAACGGCGAACATCCTCTCGCATTTTGTTTTCAAGATGTTGCGTTAGGACTTCCTTTAGTCCCGTGTATAATCGTTCGCCGTAATTGTGACTAACCATCATGTAAACATTGCGATAAAGTTCTCCAAAACTGAGGCCAGAGTATCTTGTCTTCGGTATCTCTATTATCTCTTGAATAGCACTCTTTAATGAGGTCCAGATGCTTTCTGCATCCTTCTCATCCATAGTTGTCTGTGAAAACAGAGTGTTTATAACTAATGTTTTTATGTTTCAGCACGAACTTTACAAATGAGGGTAAGAATTGACAAGTAACAGCCAGACGCAGTAAATATTATAGGACGCATATGTATTTTATTATGATACAAAAATAATTAAAATCTCTGAAGAAATAGAGTGGTATAATCGAGTACGTTCCGACCCTTTCTTTAGTTAATTTTGCAGCTCATGATATTAGCAAATTGCAACAAGATCACATTGTTTCAATTTTTACGCAGTCAAATGGTTAAAAAGACTTATAAATATTAAAAAATAGCACATCAGCTTTTTGAATGTCGTTAATAAAGATATTGAAAAGAATAGGAAATATCGGAATGCAGCTCATATCAGCTCTTTGTAGTTATTCTCAATAATTTAATAAAAGTGTCTCTCACTTATTCTAATGCGATAAAAGAAACGTCGTATTAGAATATGTGCGAAAATTTATATACGTAATATATCACTTACCAATATGCGTGACGCCATCAACGGTTATTAAAAAAATATGATGCAAAGCGAATTTAGCGAATAATATGTAATTATAATCTTCTTAAGTTCTGATTATTACAGTGATGCAGCTAATAGGATGGTTCTTCTTGAACCGTATAGATGTTAATAATCACACAAAGTATTGTAGCCAAAGGACGATCTCTCCAAAACATAACGGAAATAAATATATGTAGAATAACGTAAACATATATATATGTACACAAGATTATAACGGTCGTCACAGTCTTTATTGACGGAACAATATTTTGTGAGATCAAATAAGTTATGAATTTGCGAGCTGACGAAATTTGATACAAATTCGCTTAATTCAATTTGCACAAAAAAAAGAAGGGATTTTGAAGAAAAAGCAGATCCAATTATTATTATTTTTTAAACAAATATGTTTATTTCTTAATCATATAAAATAGAATTTCTTAGCTTAATCATATAAAATAGAATTTCTTAGATAAATTTGTATAAATTCTAACAAAATACATTAGATTATATCAACATTTTTTGTTGCAATGTTTTGGCATAAAGTTATTTGATAAAGTTCAATCTGCTGTGAAAAAAATATTGAAAGTACGAAATTAATCTTTCACAAACTGCAGTTTATTAGGCGGTTGATCGACATATAGCGTAGCTGCCACATTGAAGTAGCCCTCGTATACTCAATAGTATCCGGCGTTGTATTGATATGATAATGTCCACCCAACCTATTCTCTTCGAAAGAATTGTGGAAATGCTGTACTCTGAGATCTAAATCCTGACAGGAGGAACGAGTACTTTAATTGAAAATAAAAAAGGGATAAATAATCGTTAAAATAAATTTATAGACTACTGTATTCGAACGTGTTTGATATTCTTTTTCTTTTCATACGGATTGAATCTCTTTGAAGCTTACTGTCTCAGCGCTGACAAATATGCTGACAGCTATCAAAGGGGTCTCCATCTCCATTCGCATCTCCATTTCGTAGAAACGTAGCCAGTTGTTGAGCTGTGCCTCGCTAGTCAACGGAATGTCCGAAAAATCTAGCATATTATGCTGTTTCACTTTTCCGTTCTTCATCTTGAACATGCCACCAAAACCTAAGTTTAGAAACATTTGACATTCACTCGAGTTTCCATATTGTTTAATGCTATATCGCAATGATGATTACCTACGAGTCCATCCCCGTAATGTTTCTCCAACGCTTTCTGCATGCATATGAAATCCAATTTGCCGGTACGCTTTTTAGCGCGTACTTTTATAACTCTTTCCCTGGCTTGTCTTCGCATATATATAGGTTGGCCAACAATGCGAAAGTTGTTTCATCTTCATTAGCAACTATACGCTCGATCATGCACTTTCCAGTGGACTTATTTACAAATGCATAATGCGTCCCATTCGCTACTCCCATGTTAAGTTCATACCCTGGCGAGACTTGGTCGTTTGATACACGTAACTTCATAATAAGCTGAAATAAATCTTTCGTTTATTTATAAGTTTGCTTTCTCTCTCCCTCAAATTAGAAGATATTATTAATGCAATTTAGATAATGTACTTATAATACCTACACACCTCGCAATTGCTGCCTGTATGTAGCCACGGACCAGCTCCTGCGTCGATGACGAGAGTATAATGGTTGTAATTTAACTGTCGCAGCAACGACTGAACATCGTAGAACTTATCTCTCTGGACAGTTGGTAGAAGATGCTATGGACCAGCAACATCCAAAATAATGGGATTACCACACAAGCCTGAAAGTATCGTTAAAGATATGGAATTCGGAGAAAGATCAAATATATCTTGTGTTCTTTTTCTACGCGTACCTTCTCCATAAAAGTTGTAAGGCCATCTGATGAAATCAGGACAATCAGCCATCTTGACAGTGGCCTCCGCAAAGTTCGCACAGTTAATCCTTCTCTAGGACTATAAACAAAAATTTATACATTATTACTACATGCAGTTCCCTGCTGCAAATCCAGAATGCCTTACAATTACCATTCATTAACTCGTCGAGAAGCAGTTGATGCAATGTTCTTGACGTGATGATTATTTTGGATGGGTCTAGAAGTTCTATGTTTCGATACATCTTGAGAATTAGTACACTAGCAAACAGTGCAAAGACTAGCTTGGGATGGTACTGCAAAGAACTGTGTATCGAACTGTATGTATATTCAGTTATTGATGTTATCTAATCACCGGGTATCTCGTTTACTGAATCATAATGACTTGGAAAGATTCCTCGGCTTTCTGAAAGAAAAAAACAGAGATGCGGTTATGTTATTGCATAAGCGTGTTTGTGTTGATATAAATAAAACTCTTAATGCAGAGATAACATTGTTAACACGTTAATAAAATTGTATCGTCAGTTTATTGATTACAAAAAGATTTATTTGTAATAAGAAAATTTGCACAAGATTACTCCATGTGTATTTTACGATACAGACACAATTTAATAATGCGAGACACAGAACGATGTACGAAATTAAATATAGCACCTTTATTGCACCATATTATGATATGGTGGAGTGTTATAAAAAAGGAAACAAGACTGCAATCTCATCGACATTCTCGCAAGTTTACATAACCTATATGCGACATGCCACGTGTCTTTACGCACACGTCAACAATGGGCGCGTTCAGCAGACCAAGCCGCTCAGTAGCAGTCGAACGTGATTGGCTCTTACTTTTAGAACCAACCAATCAACGCAGATTGTTGATAAGACGAACTCAACAGTTGTGTCTGCTGAACACGGCCAATGTGCAAACTGTCAGGCCGCTCGGTCGGTATGATAGACTCCTCTCCTCTCGGGAAAACTTTTTATTATATTAGATGGAATTATTTTTATTTTTATGATGGGAAGATTTATATATTAGTCCTTCATTAATCGAGTGGGATTTATTTTATACCCCAACGTTATATCTTAAATTTCAATTGTTTTCTTTAATAATTTATATAGTTAAATATATAAAGATTGATAGCATTCTGTATATCTTCTTCTAAATAAAGATAAAAGTGCAAAAATTCTTCTTTAATTACGAAATAAATTTGTGCAGCATTCGATCGGTAAGAACATTTTACTTCGTGAATTCAGTAGATTTTTAAGGGTATACATATATATTTCACATCTCATGCGAGTAATGTAGGATTAAAGGGCGATGAATTATACAGAAATTTTATAAGCACTTTGTGTCTAATCTGGTGGTTGGATTGAATTAAACAGCAACTGAGTTAATTAAACTTTAGCAGTAATATTAATGAACGAATAGAATTAATTAAATTATAAATAATAACGAGTCTGATGTCGATCGTCTAGGATCTGTCCAAATTTTATGACGAAAATGATTTCGAAAATTTCCATCGCGCTTACATTTTTTCAGTGTTTTTTTTGTGTTATAATCTCAAGCGAAGTTATATTGATTCGTTATCGGTTTTGTTTCCTCTCTGATACGTTTTTCGATACGCTGAATACTCTGCGTACATTTTATTTATTTTACGAGATAAATATTTTCCACCACTTCTAATAAATTTTATCATTTATGAAACGCTTATGTGTAAAAATCTCGATACGCTGATATTATTCAGTTACGGGAGATCGAAAAAGATTAAAATCATCTATATTTTTGTTATTAATTTTAATAAAGTTAGATCAATTAATAATTGCTCTATTACACAACACTCCAGGTAGCAGAGGGACGTCATATAACGTCGTAGGGGCCTATTTTGTAAACGTTAACAATATAATTATGTGCTTAAATGCAGCTTTTCTATGGCATATTATATGCGCCCCTTATGGACGTTTAAAGATAAACATCATTAAGACGTCTTTAGAGACGTCATTCTGCTACCCGGGACACACTCTTACAGGAGACAATAAAAATACAATGTATAATAAATATTATGGCTTTCTTTCATAAAAGCACCAAATCAGCACAAACGTCAAAATCCGTGCGTGGTTTAAGTGGTTTAACTATTGTCATTTTCCTCGAGATGGAAAAATGAAATTAAAATAATATATTAATAGTGAAAGTTGTACAATAGCCTCAGTAACTCGGAACTTTATAAATTTTGGTTTTTTTCTTTCGCGAAATAATTTAATTTGCAAAGCAAACCTTGATAAGTTTGATATTCAACTGGCAGCATCGCGCGAAATATATGTTAATTAAAAAGGATTTACACACATGCTATTCTTTGAAGGCCAGGGATTTGTTTTACGTTACGATATATTAAATTATCTGCTGTACGTACATACCTTCTCTCGTTTTCGAATGTAAAAACAACAGATAAGCGATAATAAAATAATTCTTTTCGGTATATGTAATTGAAAGAATCGCGAAAACCTGCGGCGGCTTCATAAGATAAAAATACGGAGTTTAAGGAATACAGTTTTATTATTTAATTATGGTTTAATTACGAAATCAAATTGCATTACGTGTACAGCACATACACACACATATGCGTGCACGAAATTTAATTCCTCTGTCTTATTCCAGAATAAAGGAATAATTTTCTATCCTAATTATTAGAGCAATGAAACTAATTATACACCTTCATTAAAATTACTCTGTTTTCTAGGTATTTTAAGCTTTCGAGGTAAAAATGTGAATATCAGATTTTCATACGAGGGATAAATTTCCCTCAATCTCTGATTACGTGCACGCGATTGAAGGGAATAAAAACTGAACGAAGAAAAGAAAAATCAGGATATCGGCAATCTCTCCAAGAGTCTGTGTGTAGCTTCTAATTTCAGTCATCGAAAATGCACAGCTTGACGGACCTGCCCATCGATAATTCTTCCCCGGTCGCTCATTTCTGCCCGACCTGGGTCGACGACCCCTCATCGTCAGGAAGAAGCGGCGCGTATTCTCGTCGGATTTTCCGGAGCGCACGCGGCATCCCTTAATAAACCGGAAGGCGGCCCGGTCGCGTCCCGCCTCGTGTGTGCAGGCGTCGCGCGCGGAGCGGAGCGGAGCGGAGTGGCGCGGCGCGCCGCGTCGCCGCGCGTCGTCTCGCGTCGCGACGCTCCCCCGCGTTGAAGCGTTCCGGTGGGGAGGTCAGGTCGGTCGAACGGGAACGGGTCGGTCGAACGATCGAAAGGCCCTGCTCCTCGGCTCAGTTGTAGCGCCGACTCCCCGGCATATACACGAGGTCGTCGCGTCGTAGTTTTTAAAGGCACACTCTGTACAAAACGTAGACACGCACGCTCTTATCTTCCGTACCTCCGCCTCGCCTCGCCTCGCCTGCGCCTTCGCCTCGCCTTCGCCTCTTCGCCTACGCCTACGCCTTCGCATCCGCCTTCGCGCCTCCGCCTCGCTACGTAGTGAGCAACAGATATTGAAAGGAAAAAAAAAGAACAAAAAAAAACCAGAAACGTGCACGTTTTGCCGTTTAGAAGCGAACCACCGACCTCCGTAGAAAGCGAAATGCAGCGTCCGGTCGTCGGTCACTGGAGAAAAATCCTACTGCTCGTGTATTGTTTGCCATTATTTTCATGTAAGTGAACGCGCGCGCGCGCGCTCTTTCTCTCTCTCTCTCTCTTTCTCTCGCTCTCTTTCTCTCTCTCCCTCTCTCCCTCCCTCCCTCGCGTCCGTTCGTCCCTCTCGATAACAAACATCGACACCCTCCCGCACCGCACGCGCGTGTCTCATGTTTTCCCCTTGCGTACCGTTTTCTCCAACCCTTTGTGGATTCCTTGTTATTGCGAGGGGTGATCGCGCGCCGGCGGCCGAGCGAACCTGACAGCGTTCGTCGGCTCGTCGTCGGGCGTCAACTCGTCCTTCGACCCGGATCACGTTCGAGAGCATCCCTCCGCTGAAGGATCCCTGAAACGCACCGACCAAATCCCGCCGATTTATGCCGATTGACTATACGATATTTTTCTTTTTTTTTGGGCGACAATATTTTGATATTTATCGGACGCCATCTTTCAGCCTTCTTTCTTATTTTCAGTATTGAATTGTCTTGGCGAGTGTCTTTATTTTTTCTGTGGATGACGTCTGCTCGAGACGCTTATAAATGAAGACTAAGGTTCTCCATTAAAGAGCTTCGTATTTTTATTTTGTCCGCTAATTATACGCCTGGACGGCCTGTTGATAAAGATTCAACTTCAAATTGATCAACACGTAATTAGAGCTCGGGGAGGGCCAGCTTGGTGGGGGTTTAGAAACATCTTGCGTTGGGTTGGTCTTGTCTCACATCGCCAGCCGCGAGATAATCGTATCTTTTTACTCTAAAGCCCGGAGCGGAGCTCCGAAACATTTTCCAAATTGTTATCACGGTAGAAGTTTAACGTATGTAATTTTTTTTTTCGAATAACGTCGCTAAACATTCGCTTAAAAAAAAATGGACACGATGTTTCTTCTGTTTCTCTCGTAGAAAATTGTTGTATTGTTTCAGTTGACGACACCACTGCGGAGGCTGCAGATTATTCCCCATACAATTCAGTACTCTGACAATATTACACATTTTGCACTTCATGACGTGTGACGTATGTCTCGGGTTAATTGTTCAGTGCACCCTAACGTGTTACCGCGGCGGAGAATAATTCCACGCCACATTCCATGGGACGTTTTCCGGGAGCGAAGCGACCACCGTTAACAAGTCTCACCGTTTGTTTGATAGTACAATACTATATATTCAAATTAATCATTGCGAAAATAACATAAGTCCGGTGTATATGTACGAGTTTATACAGAGGTATCGCGTATTTTTCAGACGCGGAGTAGAATTTAGAATGACAATATCGCAGAGCGCGGAGCATCGTACGGACTTATGTTGCTTTCAAAAAATGACCGATATTTTATATCTTCAATAAACAAGCGTCACGCTGCGGAACGTAAGCGTGGCGGAACGAATGCTCATTCATACTGATTGTTTTCAAAGACTTCAGTTGTATGTTTGATCTTAAAAAGAGTGCCACTTTCTGTGCGTCGCCCAGGAAGCTCGACTACGGAATAACGGATTACACATATACGCTATACTTCAATGTGGAATTGAATAAAAATAGAACACTTTACTTCGTGTACATGAGCTCCTATCATTCATACCACCCACGTAGAATTACTACAATGTACATTCACTATATGAATCCTCAATGGCCTCCATTTGTTTGGACACGTACAAGCGCGCACACGCACGCACACCGTTTGATACAATGCCAATACGAATATATAATGAAACTCGAACAATCCAGCCGCCGCGGTGCGCGACTTTTTCCGTCAAACTTATTTCCGAACTATATTCGTCTTGTCGGGTATATTTTAGATCGTTCCGCGGCAATTTCTTTGGCCGTATAGATCGTTTTTGTCACGAATAGCCGTAGAATCGAACGAGCCGTCGCGTCGGTGCGATAACTCAATTCGACCTAGTTTATTCAGAACCGTAACACTATATACAAGCGTTAATACACGAATCTATTACAGATTAAAGAGCGTTATACGAACGTAATAACTGGAAATCGATATAGCCGGCGACAATCGCAGTCGCTTTTTTGTTCGCGCGCCGCGGAGCGATACAAAGTGGCGTGTTTGTATCAGTCGCGAACGAACGATTTCATTCTAATAGCAGATCGATAATGCGTTACAGTATATAATAATGTGCACACGGTACACCCATAAGAACACTTTGTCAAACGTTTTGCTCACGGTAGAAACTTCGTACGAGTCAGTTTATACCGCGAAACTAGCGAACTATATACGCTCGGCCCGACGTGGTGTGTAATGTCAAAGGAAATGCTCGACATTGCTGTTTCGCGAAATTCCGGCAGACAAAAGCTCGTGACAATAGTCTGCCGCTATCTTAATCGTTAATCGCGGAATTCCGCCTTCTCAAAATTTCACTGCTCGCTAGTCCTCAACAATGGTTTTGCTCTCGCGCGCGCGACTCGATTATTATCCGAATCTCGACAATAAGGCGGGAATAATTCCGCAATTTCATGAGATCCCCGTTCGAACCGCTGGAGTTTGACAGATGCGATTAAGAAGTTGCGGAGTTAGAAAACCTTCGCACTGATACGACATCATGAAATCAAATTAAAGTTGCCAAAATTTCCTCTTCAAATATCAGAACTTAACGTGATAAATGAGTGGAAAACAAAGAGATTTGTACATAGTGTTTGAATAGTTTGCAATTTCTTTATTTTAAAGCGCGTAACAGCAGAAAATTATAAATATATAAAATATAACACGTAAAATAAATTTATAAAAATGTAAAGATAAAAATAATAGAAATTATAGGTGATATTCATAATCCGATGTTAAGATCGTCTTAAGTCTAATACTAGGTAGTCTCGAGATTCCATTCAGCCAACGAAATAAACGTACATCTTGAGATCGCATTTAAGACGATCGTAACACGGGAACTGGCAAAGCAGTTAAAATAACTGATTTGTAATTTTCCTTTAAATTACTCAAATTTATGCCGATGCATTTTCTGAGATTTTCCAGGGCTTTTGTCGCAATATGTAAATGATGAATTGCATGCAATATTCAATTGATCAATTTACTTTCCTCTGCGCCCTTTTTTCAAATATATATATATATATATATATATATACTTAAATGACAGACATTAATTATCAGTGTTCTAACATTAAACATAAGATCGGATTATGAATATCGCCCCAGATATGTGAACAAAAATCAATAAACTATATTCAAGATAAAAATGTCTATATTCTCCATTGCAGTTTAATTAAATATCAAAAATTTTTAAGTCACTTATGACAGGTCTAATAAAACATTCAGGGAGAAATATATGCAAAATTGATATATTTTTAGCTTAAATTAAGTGGGCGTAAAAATGCAGGATAAAAATCGAAAATTCAATTAAATCAAAAAGGCTAATAAATCAGTTTAATTGAAACGGCTAAATTTACGACCACTTTTTCGGTTATTCGCACACTACCCGAGTTTAAAAGCCATTGTGGTAGAAACCAATTATTCGACTATTTATCGATCCAATTATATTCACCCTAATTGTACATTATCTATAAGAGAAAAGTGCCGATATTAAATATTATAAATTAAATATTCTGAAAGTTATTCTCTCGTAATACTCTCGTATCAAATATTTACATAAAAAGGATTGATTATCGTATATTATCGTACTATACTATTGTATATGACTTACAAATCAAGATATTATATTTTTTTTCTGCAGAAAAAAGTTTCAAAAAGATTTTTTAATCTTAATTATTTTTCAGCTTTAAGATGTTGAATCTCTTCTATACTAGTCGAGCAGTGATACAAGCCATACTCTTCTCGTTTTATAAAAATATGCGAGAAAAAATTGCTATAAAGAATTCTTAATGTAAAAGTCAATTGCTCCAACGAGAAATATAGTAAGGAAAGTATCATTTTACTATATCAAAATAAAAGTACGCATTCACGGATACATATCTCTAAAATATCTCGTAAAATCGTCTCTGAAATCAATCTTCTATTTTCTACGATCTGTATTATACCTACCGCTGTTCCAATCAACGCAACACCACGTACAAAAAAGTCGGTCGATTCCAATCGAAAAACTCGCGACGACGTAACAACAATCGGCTGTTCGGCTTTAAACGCCTGTTGAAATATTGCAGGACAAGCGCGTAGAAAATCGCGTGGTATTAGCATTATCCGACGGCGCGATCGACCTCGAAAATAGGCCTCTTGTCTTGAAACGTCTCGAAATAATATACCATGCGTGCGGCGGTAACGCGCGCTTTCATTCTGATCGATACAGTAACACCTCCCAGCAACAGGGCGGACTGCCACAAGTAGTTACAGTCGGCCGAAGGCCCCTCCGTTCTTCCCGGCAATAGCCGGGATTAATCCGTTCGCCGTTCGTCTCGTTGTCACGTCGATTCCAGTTCAATGGAAATCGAATGTAACACGATCGCGCCGGTCTTGACGGTGTTTAATCAAAATATCAAACGTCATTCTGACACATCTCGTTATTATTATATTTTATTTTATATAGCTTCGAATATACATAGCAAGATAGACAAGAGACGCGTCGCGACATTTTGTTCTATTTACGAGTCCCACGGTCAATTTTTAAAGTCGATACTTTTCAGAAATGACCAAAAAGAGGCAATAAGAGCCAGGTGCGGTAATTAGTGCGCAATGATTATATTCTCAGTCAATACATAAAATTAAAATTAGTGGATGTTTTCGACTCTTTTTTGGGGGGTCATCATTGATGGCGCAAAAAAGGGTCTAAACGTCCGCTAATTTTAATATTACGTATTGACTGAGAATATAAATCATTACGTATTAATTACTACGCCTGGCTCTTATTGTCTCTTTTTGTTATTTCCGATTTATTCAAGAGGACCTTTATATACTTTAATTTTATACTTTTCGTTGTAAGAATGTAGAATGACAGTTTTACAGTTCTAAAGAATTCAAGAGAATGTAAGACCTTTTACAGAGAAGTTCCACGAACAGCTAGAAACGATAGGAGATCTTATTTTTCGCTGAATTTCAGATAAACTTTATTTTAATAGAATTTGGTCCCACGATTTAGAGTTACGTGCACGAAAGACACCCTATACGTGACCTTATCTAGGTTTGTGGGTTACGACGCCCCTCGAAGTTAACCCCCGACGAATGCAATTTTAAATGAATATCACATAAACCATGGGGATATATGGGACACGTCAAATAGCAGCTTTACGGTTTTAAAAGTCTCGCTTCATTCTTTATTAAACAATAATCCTTTAGCGTATTTAAATGCTCGCAAAATATCATAGCTTTTAGTCCGTAAAACAGTAAAAATAAAAAATGTATATGCGAACGTCGATGAGAAATAAAAATATCCAGAAGTTGTTCGCAAAATTCGAATTATATATCAATAAAGTCCTGAAATATAGGAAAATATATTTTAAAAACGTATTTTGCCATTCTTTCGATCCTCGATTAAATATAAATATTGAATTTTCAGCTTTTTCCCCAGCTTTTTACGAATATTTGCGACTCGCGATCGCGCGCATCTCGTCATAAAGCCCATCCTTTAATCATGCCCCTCGCGACTTTCGCGAACGCCATATGCATCCCGAATTAATACCGTTTATGTTGGACGTTGTAGATAACGTCCAACGACGTCACGGACGCCAGAACTACACGGTGGTATATATACGAACGGTGATTTCACGATTTCCAGACGCGACACTGGCAGATCACATGAACGTGCAATTGATAGCGCCGCAGTACGTAACGCTGGGCAGTACGGCCACCATGCTCTGCAACCACACTGTCGCGGACGACTTGCTGCACAAAATAGAATTTATGAAGGGCGAGAAGAGGATATTTCAGTACATTAAGGAGCGAAATCCGCCGTATATAACACAGCACATCGACGGCGCCCAACTGGAGGTGAGCGAAACAGAAGGCCGAAATAAAAAGGCGACCTTTAAAATATGCCTCTCGTTAATATATCACTTTCTTGATCCTTTTTTTTTTGTTCACCTTCAATGTTTCATTATTTGCTGTCATTACTTGCCATTATTCGAAGAGTGAATTATCGAGCGTACCCAACGGAATTGATAAGAGAAAATGGTAATTTGATTTCAGCGATTAAACCTGGTTTATCAGCGATTCTTGACGGCTCATAAATATTTGGAGTATCGCTTTACTCTGATATACACGTGACTTTCGTTTTGACGTGTACATTGCATAATTATCTCAAAGGTATCTCGCGGTCGCGCCGTAACATGGCATGCAGGTTCGATAACACGTCTACATAAATTTGTGTCAAATTTACACGGCTCGAGACTGATGCCATCGACCTTTGCATCTCAATCTATCCGCAGTTACACATGTATATATACATATATATATACCTATATCTAGACACTCGACAACCTCTTGTCTAGTCACAATTTCCGTTACAAAGATAGAAATTCGTTTAACATTCAGATTTAAAGCGATGATATAAACATTATATATATATATATATTGTCATTATATATTATATATATATATATATTGAGGTTGTCGAGTGTCTAGACAAGAGATGTTAAACAAATTGAATAATTACCCATATTGAAATTTTACGTTTTGCAATGCAAAATAATTTAAATTCAACATATACGCGATACCGGATTTATCCCTCGAAAACGAAGAAATATTTTAAACTTTCAGAATATATTTTTTGTTACATGTCCAACGTATAACATGGTGTAATTTTAGAATTTATTCTGATTAAGTTCATTATATATGTATTAAAAAATTATACATATATCTTGTCTTATTTTTCTGGCTTTGTCTTTATTAAGGTTTTATTTATTAAAATTCAAAATTTCAAAAGCACGTGATAACACTTTCTTTTACGTGGCGAAGTTTTATGCATTAAACTATAATGTTCGTTCTTCTTTTAATTTCTTAAGTATTACTTTTCTCAAGTACTTTATGTATACATGCGTATATCTTTATAAATATTTATTTATATTATAAACTTTTCCGTTACATCACGTACCTGATGTTTATGTAATGAAATAATGCCTCTTTTTAACCTGCCGCCTGACATTATATTACGTGTACAGGTAAAAATATACGACTTAGTCTGCATACCTGTCGCGCATGACGGTACGGTCTAAGGAGAAAGAAGCCGTTGTAAACAAAAGTCCAAAAATAACGAGGACGCCCTCGATAGCTGAATGTCCGGAGTCCGCGCTCCTGCCTTTTGCCAATGATTAAGCGAGCAAAGCTAACGCATTTACCTAAGGCGCAGTCTTTTATGTAGCGACACAAAGCAAAGTTATTTACGTACATATACGTGTGCCCCACCACGTGAAATATCCTACGTAATCTCCGTATCCCCCGACAATATCGAGTAGGCAACGCGTGTGTGGCAACGTAATTTCCCTCGCGAATGTGCCATGTTTTTCGATGGGAGCGCGCCGCGCATGCAGATGGGTGATGATCTATTAAAAAAGAGATAAGGTGGAAAACCAATACTTGTGCTAATCCACATGTGATACCTAACGGTCACGGGGGATGAGCGCCGGATGAGTTTGTGCCGCGCGGCCTGTATGTAGAGTCAACGCATTAATAATGAGGCTATCCGCGGCAGGAATAGAACCGTCCATTTGGCGAAAGTTTCAGGCTGCGGACGATGGGCGATTGTAAAGTGTCGAAAATACTTGGCGTTTTTTCTCCGCGACACGCCGAGAAACCTTCGTGTACTTCTCATCGCCATCGTGTTCAAGGAAAAAAAAATCGATCGAGTTACACGACCGAATTACAGTTCTTCTTTTATAAATGTCTACCTTTTTTTAAGGACATTCTTGTCTCTTACCGTATCTCCTTTTCTGATTTTCTATTTCTGTATTTCAATTTCTGTATAAATTTGCGAAAACTCCTTCGGTCGATATTTCGAATTATTATTAATCGGAACTTTTTGTTAACAACGAACCTGCGACTGTTTCGCGCAACGTTAATTCTGCGATATCTTGAAATTATTAAATTTTCGAAAACTCCTTTAGTCGACGAAAAAAAATCGATCGAGTTACACGATCGAATTACAGTTCTTCTTTTATAAATGTCTACTTTTTTTTAAGGACACTTTTGTCTCTTACCGTATTTTGCGAAAACTCCTTCGGTCGATATTTCGGATTATCACAATCGGAACTCTTCGTTGACAACGGAGAACTTTTGCGACTGTTTCACACAACGTTAATTCTGTGATATCTTTAAAGTTATTACAGCACGTCACGAAAGATATGTAGGTAAAGATACGCGTAACAAATGGGGCGCTGAGAAAGATTAGATCTAAGCTGCTTAATAACAAAATTGAGTTAATGTAATAAGAACCTCCAGTCACCATAATACTAGGATTTCTGAACAAACGGTAACAATGGGAAAAAAAATGACTGCGACGATAAATTGTGTTTGAGCCCTTCAAATTTCCATACCGCTAATTTAAAAAGGAGATTTTCTTTTCGTATATTTAAATATTTAAATCTTTGTCGCCCCAGTATTTCGAAACAGCTATTGATCGACTGTATTTAGAAGCAAAGATATTTTTTGTAAAATAGGTATGACCTAAATATAATAAAAGCAAAAGTGACAGAAAGCAACGATCGCGCTGAATTGTATTATCTAAAGTGTTCTGCATTTGTATTTTCAAAGCAAGTTTCTCCTTGCTCATGCACTTGATATAATTGAAATGGGGGTAGATGAAAGGAATACAAGTGACAAATCCTGGCAAAGCAAGTTGATAGAAGAACACTCTTGAATTCTCATTCAAAGATAACTCTGACGCACACTTCACTATCTCAAATTCAACGTATTTGAAAGCGGAAGAATGACACGTTTAGAAAAAATAAACATCGCGACACATAAAGGTGTTTCATTTTCTCTCGTGCAAACGTACAACTCTTCCTTGTTTAATTATTGAGCTTGAAGAGTCCGGAAGCAAGAGATGGTGACTGGTAAAGAACCACGCTTTAAGAGAAATTAATTTTCGCGTGTACATTTTATACGCTCTTGAATTGTCCATATAGTATTTGTCACTCGTATATTACCTTTTTGAAATATAGACTGCGCCTCGATTAAAACGACGTAGTTATTTTAATTAATCACGCTGTGTGTCATAAATCGACATGTCTTTTTCAGTACTCGAAGAATGGCACGACAATCAAACTGCACAATGTGCGTTTCGAAGCTACCGGTACTTATACCTGTGAAGTCACTATGACAACACCCATTTACACTGCTGGCGCTGATCCCGTACAGATGAAAGTGATATGTGAGTGGTAGTGTCGACCTTACAAGACTAAAGAACAAACATATCTCTCTGCTAATGGCATTAGTCGTTATTGTGTTGGATTGTATTAATTTTAATGAATAGCTATTAATATACGTAAGCGTATTGGTGTATCGATCTAGCTGAAATAATCTTAATTAATTAATTTGACACTTGAAATTACACGTTGACATTTCTTGAACGGGATAAAGATTTAATAGCCAAGATCTCTCTCTCTCTCTCTCTAAATGTCGATCTATGATATTAACTAGTTATTTTTTAATTTGCATCGCGCCATATCTCCGATATACTTTTTATAATTCCTTTTAGTTCCACAGAGTAAAGATCCTACGATTAGGTTCGAGAAGAGTGTATATGTGGTAGGCGAGAGCTTGGAGGTGAATTGTACGTCCTCGCCAGCACGTCCAGTTCCTTATATAACGTGGTTCATAAACGGCAAAGAGGTAAAGGATAATAAGGATTGAAATTTAATTTTGATTCTAATGAGCCTGATAAAATAAACATTCTTCCACGGTTTAACAATTTTAACAATTATAAATTAAATACATTATTTATTATTTAACACTGCGCGGACATCGTGTTTTGGATTCACCCGGACACCCTGGGACTTTTAAGTCTAAAGGGTTTTTGAAAGCGTTTTTGTGATTACAAAAAATCTACAAAAATTCATATTATTTTTAGGGTTTTAAAAGTGATTTATATATATATAATAATATATAATTTATATATCTATACATATATATACGTAGGCCGGAACTAAGTTCTTTTAGGGAGGGAAGCTGACGCAAGCGTCCCGTGAGAATCATAAATGAAAAATCGACAATGTCTTGAAAGACCCACGGTGTCTGCGCAGTATTAACGAAACTTATATATTTCTGATCGCTTCTTTCACGATATACTTAAATATTTTAGCCCAATAGATTTATTATTAATAGGTTTTTTTAGATTATGTTATACAAATTATATTTTTCCCTTGTGCGTGCTTTATGTCCGAAAGCTTTTATATCTTTATGATTTTATATATAAAATCTTTTCTAATTTGCTCGGAACTACGGATATAATTACGCGCAATTAAATTCTTGAATATCTTTAGACGTTATTCCCTCGCTCGATTGCAATTTTCTGATTATTGATTTCGCCAGGTGGATATTGCTCTAGTGACTCACTATCCGCATATACATCATAAGAATCATCTGGTGTCCGCCACCGCCAAGCTGAAGGTGGAAGTTTCTGAGTTGCACGCCGGCCAAAATGGACATCTGGAAATCAGCTGTCGCGCAACGATACCCGCTTTCCCCATGAATCACGAGCAATTTGCCGATATTAAGAAAAAGGTGGTGACGGGTAAGTTTTTTTATGACGGAACAATATTAAATTCTTTTCCGCGCGTGTACGATATAGTAACAACCCTTCCCTTCACCGAATATGCACAATGCTGAATTTTCGAAAATAAACAAGAGTGATCCCATAAAAATTATAGATCTAGAATTATTTTATTTAAAAAAACCGACATTGTCGGAAATAAAGAAACACGCATTTTCATTGCAAAGCTGACCGCTTTCTGGGACTTTGTACCTTTTCTCTTTGCGCGTTTGCTTTCTGTAAGCCGCAGGGCTTTCTATATTTTTCTATATATATATTTTTTACTCTTTACTCTTATCAAAATAACAAGAGAGGGAAAAAGTCCCGATTTTTGTATCCCGTGCGACTTGTTTCAGTGCAAATCATACCAGCGCCGGATGTGACGTCTTCCGCGGCGATTCTCATACGAGAACTAACGCTACCTACGATACTGTGCATACTGAGCGCGGTGCACAAGTTCATTCCTTAATAAAAGTCAATTGCTCTAGGATAATTCGGCTGTAACATATCTAATCGTAAGGATATTAAGGCGATGAACGTATAAGATCGAACAATCACAATGTCTTCCTTCGATATATCGAAATACACGGGGGCAGCGGTTTTATTGTCTTTGCAGAAGTTTTGTAAAACTCATAGACGCGGCTTCTTCGTGCGCAAACTATTTTCGATTGTTGCTTATAAACGAGCGTCGTCTGTCTCGCGAAACATATCAATCCCATTGTAATGAGAAAAATAATGTCCGAATTATGTTCGGCATGGTGTGTCGGAAAGCTATATGTCTCTTCCTTCGATACTATTCGAATCTATTTATCGTAGAATTTATATTAAATTTTAAAAGTTATTTTTGGAAATTAAAGCAGAAAATGAAAAAAAAGCAACGGGAAAAATAATTTTGTTCTATATGGCAAGTTCTATATATCTTCGATATGTAATGCACAATGTATATACTATTGTTGAATTAGTTAACATATCTTAAAAAAAAGAACAGAGTTTATCACAGTTTAAAGATTTTATTGTTAAATATATAAAAATCCGATCTATATTAATGTTATCGAGGTATCATATGATCTATACATTAGCAACTGTAATTTATATTTTAATTTAAAGAACGATATGGTTTTCCGATACGCGTTAATATATAACATATTTCATCTAGTCTCGCCTCGCCGCTGGGGAAATACAATGTTTTTTAAGCTGGCAAATACGTTCTTGTTACTGCGCGTACATTTTTATAAAAAAATTATGCAAAAAAAAATCACGACCACAAAAAAACGCTTTAATATCAATCAAATCGAGTTTAATAGATTTTTCCCTTACGGAACGATATTCTATTCTCCAATAGCAGTTTTCCATTTCTCATCGATGGACTTTTTCTCTTTTTATAAGAGAAAAAACTCAAAAATGATTTCCACATTGTTCGACTCATTAGGATCGTAATACAAATAAAAGTAATTTTGATTTAATTTGCAATAGGTGCAAAATGATCTTTTTTTTATATATATATATTTTACGCCCCGTTTCATGATGTTTCGTGATAACACACAGCGATGAGATCAATTTTCCGACAATAATCTAGAGAAGCGACAACTTTTCCGCGTATAATAGGACATATAGATATTAGAACAAACGTTCACCGTAACTACATTTCACCGTAATTCGAAGCTTAGTGCTTCGTAGAAAACATACAATATATTATACACAAGAAATTCGAAGCAAGAATGGCGTAAGTTAAATACGATGACGTGTGAGATATTCAGATTTCTTCAGTGCACCTATCGAAATATCTCCGCGAACTGTCTTCTGCTTACCATTATAATTAAATTATCGTTTAATTAAATTATGTATAACGATATAACGAAAAGTATTGCGAGTACCACAAGAGCGATCACTTAAGCCATTTTTGTTTTCGATTCTTGGTCTATATTTCACGTGCTTATAACGAACTGGAGGATATCGATGAAACGGGATGTACGACTCACACACACACAATCAGTATTATATTGAAACTTCCTTCCGAGTATTTTGAAGTGGCAAGCTTAAAAAACACCGCGACAGCGGCTGGGCATTTAAGTAGACTATTTAGAGAACTGCGAGAAACTAGAGATAACTAGAGACACTCGAGTCAGAGTCTGATCAATAATACAATATATACCTGATTACTATTACATATAATAAAACTAAAGTAAAGCGCGATTTCTTTGCTCTGAATTTACCGAAGTACAATCTGATCTTGTTATATCACTTATCTCCTCGTAATTCGAGGGATAATGCATTGTATTGATCTTATTGAGATCGATCGATTGACGAGACTGATGAGAACTGATCCGATCAAGCTCTGACTCAACCATCTGTAGAAGTAGCGATTACGGGCTGCTTGCGGCCAACTTTTTGGAACACTATTGGGCGCGTTATCCGTCGATACGACGTCACTTTGACGGGACTTAAAAGACTTGATGCGATATCATCACCGCTATACGGCTCCCTATACGACCAAACGCCCGGGATTACCTCTTGTCTCTGTGTATTGGCACACCTCCTCGCTTAAAAAAATATCATAATCCTCTTTTTCGCTGTCGCGCCGGTAGCTCATGCTGAATACCAGCAACCAGGATGCACTTTAAAACAGCCATATTGGCTGTAGCGCGAGAGTATGTTAGGTATGTTAGTGTGACTACCTAAAGCTGGCGGCGCACACTTTGGAACACTAAAAGGATTATGTCGATGAACGTTTACGCTAGAGTGAACGCGAACGATGCTTTCCGGGGGCTTTAGAGTACTAATCTAATCTTGATTCTTAGGATAATCAGAGGGAACGTATCATCGTCTCCAGTTAGACGACTAATCTAACTAAAAAAGTTTTGATAGCTTCACACAGATCGAATCTTACGTATACGTAAGCCTGTAGCTAACGTCTAGGAGGTACTCACTCGCGCGATCGAATTCGGTTACAATTAAAGTATAAAGATTAAAAACGGCAGATTACTAAAATGGTAAAATTAATTGTCATAGTTAGAGGAAAGTGTTGGAAACGTTAGGGAACAAACATCGACTACGTAGGTCGTAGTGCTTTATATAGAAGTAAAGAATATATTTATGATTAATGAATTTTTATGCGTATTTCAGATTGCGCGACTATTTGCTAAAATCGAGAAGACTAATTCAATCGCGTACGTGCAAATCTCTTACATGCTTTCAAACTTGCAATAAATATACTACTTTTTAATTTTTATTGTATTTATACAACGTAAGAGCGCCAGGCTAATCGGTCGTCTTAAGCGAAGTTTGAAAGCTTAGTAAATGATATTTTAATTGAAAAGTGCCTTTTCATATTGTCCGCAATTAGGAAATATCTCAGGCAGATTTTAGTCTGCTAGGCAACGTGCTTTTGCCCGGAAAGCAAAATCGCAACCACTAAGAACTAATATAGAGAAAAAGTCGTCTTTTTTAAACAATCTCACACACTCTCTCTCTTTCTAATAAACCTATTCTTACAATTAGTCGTTTCAGCGTTCATTCTAGCCCGTCAAAAGCTCTAATTGCAAATTTTATTACGAGTCTGCTGTTTCTAGCTTTGCACCTTCCGCATATAGAATTGATTTCGAAGTTTGCGGTGGGTGGGTGGGTGGGGGGGGGGAAGGAGTGCCATGTGGAAAAGATTATATCTGGAATACTTCACACGCTAATCAATACATTCATACAGTACTTACACACGTAAGATTCTACTTTTATCTCTCGCGATGAGGTACATATTAATTATTATATATTCGCTCTGCCACGTGCGGTGCGCCTCGTCCAGCGGCTCCTTGGGGGAAACGTAACGATAATTTATTTATCTATCTCAAGCGTGCGGGAAAATGTATAAGAAGGTGCGCCGCTAGAGAGAGCAGGCCTGGCGTATATAAATTAGCGGAAAAACAAAAGTCGACGCGCGCGGGGGAGCGTGGCACACAGAAAATGGAGGATCCCGCAAAACCTTTACGGCGACTCGCACGCGAACCGCGATGCTCCTCGCGGTTGTGGTCGTCCTAATACCGTATATCTGTCCGATTTCCCTGGTGACCGGCATCGAAACGACCGCGTGGGAGTCTGCGGCCGACGAGGCGGCGGCGGCGGCAGCGGCGGCGGCGGTGCGCATCGTCGGCGGGGAGATCACCAGCATCAAGAATTATCCTTTTATCGTATGCGTGCGACGCGCCCATCTCTCTCACGCACACACAGGCCTCTTAACCTTTCACCTTTTGAAGGGCATTGGAATTACCGGTATCCCACATCTCTGCACACCGATATATAGGCGTAGCCCATATGACCGCTCTGACGTCAAAGAGGTGGAAGCTAACGCGAAGTGTATTGTGCAAGGTCGGGGGTGGTTTTATCAACTTTTTTTTATCACAAACTTCCGTTTTATCAACTCTCCCGCGGTTGGTAAAACGCATGCAGCGAGACGCTCGGGCGATTCAACGTGAGCAGATAGAACGACTCATAAATTTTTTAAAAACATTTTTTCAGCGTTTTTTCGTAAAATCTGAAGGTGAACGGTTTGAATTTTTAAATAGCTCGAAATAAAATGTTATGACGGTGACGTTTTGAAGTGAAGTTTTGACTGACGTAGCTTGCAGTTTACGCTTCGAGTAAATTACTAAATTCACATGTAGGACCAAAACTCGCGGATCGTATATATCGGTTTTATTCAAATACGAGAGCTATTATGTCGTGCAATTTCAGCACTTCTAATTTCTCGTTTGCGCGCGATGGGTACTGACGGTATACCGATGCACTTTAAATGCTCGTGCCAATCTAACTTTGAATGCATTCGAGACAGCCGGAAATCTCAATTTTCAATAGTCAAGCGTTGCCTTGAGAAACGTTGGACGTTGCAGGATGAATAAAATGCAACAAAGTTGCTCTATTTAAAGTTGGTTTTAAAGGAATAAAAATAATTTGAAATTTCTACATATATTTGACGTTTTAAAGGAATATAAATAATTTGAAATCGAGTCTGTAAAATGATACAATTTTACGACACATTTTATGATAAATTTTACATTCTTTTTTAGATTTAACAATAAATAAATATAAAAAAAATGAGTGAAAGAAAATTATTTGTAAAATTGAGATTCAAGTCGGTCTCGAACACGTCGGCACGCGTCCGAGCTAGGGAAAGGGTTAAGGCGGCAACCGACTCGACTCGGACTCGACGAATCCGAATTTTTCAAAGTCAATTCTTCTTAGGTCTCGGTGCAGCGCCGATCCTATAGCCACTGGTGCGGAGGCACTTACGTCGCCTGTAGGTTCGTCCTGTCGGCCGCCCATTGCATGGTCAGGTGCGTGTCACAAGACTGCGTTTCGCATTTTTGCGCTATGTCTGGTCGCGGAGGGGTGGTGTAGTCTCTCTCTTTCTCTCTCTCGCCGGGGCTTTAAGCACTTTGTTCGTCCCTACGTATTCCCTTACCTCCCCAACAATCTTCAGTCCTCGATTGTACGAAAACGTTTGGACAAAGTGGTGGAATTCGGGAGATCCCTCGAATTCCATTCTGGGATTAAAGCGCTTTCGGAAATCAAGGGATGAAAAATGAGCGAGGATTATTTCGCGTGAGATTTTCGGTATAAGTCAGAACGCGCGCGTGTGGACTCTCGAAGGAAAACATTTTGTTAGCAGACTGTCAGCACGACTTTCCTCGAGCCCGATTCTCTATTTAATGTTAACTGTGATCTTTTTCATTCAATGCTATTAAGGTGTCGATCTCTCGCTTATTTGCTTATATCTCATACGTGTAAGAGTGTGTATATACTTATAAAAGTTATTCGTTCTAAAGGCTCGCGCGCGGCCGATTATGATTAGGAAACACTGCCAGATTGTACAGCGAATTTGTCTTTTCATGCTTTTCTGTGATACATTTGCTACACGAATCTGAAACAAATTGATATATATACTTGCGTTGTAACAATGTTAATTTTGATAACGTCACTTCTTTTCAAAAATGCCTTACATTAGAATTTCTAAATTTAGCACGTACGTCGTATATATATCTACGTGAATTTTATATTTAAATTTCTATTTTTTTAAATTCTATATTACTTTATGATTACAACTTGAACTTCGAAAGGAGTGCACATACAAGCATTTATTCCTTTTAAGCTGTACAAAATTACACAAGCTTAAGAAATGTTCGACTCTCTGAAAATAACGCGAAAAAATTTCAATTATCTTTCTTAGATCCTTTTCTTAAATTACTTTGCGTTGAAGTTTTAAATTAATTTCCTTTACTAAATGAGGAGTGTCGAGTGTCGAGCAAGCTCCATTTCTATTTACTGTCAAGGATATTTTATATGTCACATATTTTTGCTGCTCGCTTTTAATATTTAAAGTAAATAAGATATTTAAAACGTCTTTCGCTTTTACTTGCAACTTTTCAAGAAACTGAGAAAATCGTCTCAGTTTTTGGCATATAATTAATCTTTAAACACGAAACTGTCACGCGATGTCTAAACCTTTTTAGATTTAAAGTAAGTTTTCGCGAGGTAAAGAGATCACGGAGAAAGAAATCCTTTAGTGGCTGAATTATACTTTGGTATTTCTCTAATAAAATTATCCATCTTGTCAAGCGAACCGAACGCCCTGGTAAGACATTTTAGGATTACACCACACAATACTTGAGATTAGTAGCCGTATTTAACCTCCTTGCTACTGCAGAGAATGTATGTTACGTGTTCACGAGAAAGCAAGGCTTGTGTTTGATGTAACGACGTGTCTTGTAAGATGTAAATCGCTTCCATTTGTGAGAAGCCGAACGGAGAAGTCGGCAGATTTAAATTTCCAGTAAAATCTAGTTTGGAAACGATGTTATATATATATTTCGAAAGAGTGAGTCTCTCTATAAGAGATATTTATATCTATACATTCTATAAAATATCCGTTAAATATGTCGCAAAGAGATGTGTCTGAACCAGCAATTTTGCGTAAATCCCAATTCGGTAGGCAGTTTGTGTCGCGTATGCGAAACACATACGTGAGATAATCGGGCTTATATTTTCGCTACTGAATGCAATCCTCCTTTGGATTATGTACAACAACCAGCCGCGGGCGAACGGGATCGGATGGTATAAATCCAATCCGGTGTCAGTGATCGGGTTTAAGAATAACCGGCCGGTTGACAACCGGCGTAATCAATTATAGAGTGAATTTTCGACATCGTCCCTTCCGTCCCGTTCATCCCCTATACAATTGTACCTTACACATTTGTTTCCTGACTGTGAGTAGTGACTGTGCTGTCTAGCGTATATATTTCACGAGTAACGAGAAGGTTAGCGGCGCTAGATCCTAAGGCTAATGATATCTGTCGTGGTATCTATCTGTGTATCGATTAGCTGTGTACTAGCGATGAGATGTACTACTACTCGCGTGTACGTAGTTTCTGTTTTACGTGTCAAGCTCGACCGCTCGTGATTGTACGGGGGAAAATTGGGGCGCAATCAGACGTATACGCTCTCGTTTTACACGACAAGCTACGTGAAATTTTAAAAGAAGAGTGATTTAAAGGGGACGTGACAAATTGTAAGAGAAACAGTGATTACGTTGAAACAACACTGGGGAACCCATTTTCGTTATTATTTCTCTCTTTCCCAGCCAAACATCTATTTTGTATCAATCAATTTTTATCATCTTCTTTATCCATATTTCTTTAACTTTATCAAAAATTCAATTTCTTTATTTGAGACCACCGTTCCCTGCACGTATTTCGCTTATTAAGAGAAATTGCTTATATTGTCTCAAGACTTCTCCTTTAAAAAGAAACTTTTTAAGAGATTTTTTAGAAGATTTTATGGTCTCGCAAACGTTATACGTTTCTAAATTCTTGGAATCTTTTTTTAGATATAAGTTACATATTTAACAACATGCAGAGTCATCGAACCCTACGATATCATTTAACAGGAAAAGAGTCTTTCGTTATGATATTTCGCGTTCGATTGCGTCCCACCTTTCCTTACACCGCTCCGATGTTTGGGTGGAAAAAAAAAACCAAGGTGTATAATTAACTCGTCGTTGTTTAAAGACGGTCGCCCGACGGCACGTGGGCGGCGGAGAATCCACGCTACTTCTACGTGATCGCCGGCGCGACCTACGTGTATTTACCAAGCTGGGGTTCCATGCAGGTGGAATTGGTAGACAAGACATTGCCGCACGCAGAGTTTCGATTCTCGGACATGCGAAACGATATTGGATTGTTCAGGGTGATTGTTTATGCCGTGTATATAATTCTGTGTCGATAATAAAGAGAGTAAACCTTGTAAACCACCCCGCGCCCGCGCGTGGCCTTATCACTGTCATCCGTGCCCGCTTTTACAGCTGAAGAGACCCCTTTACAGGAACGCGTACGTCCAATACGTCACACTTCCGCCGGTGTACGTTACGGACATGTTCCAGATATATACGGAGGATTGCGCCGCGATTGGATGGGGTCGACACATACCTGATTCAAACGTAAGCGCAAGTTGTTACAAAGTGTTTTATTCAATACGGCACACAAGCGAGGGATAATACATTCTGATGGAAGAAGCATCTTGTATTTCTTATTTATTGTATAAAATTGTCGTAAAACTGATGGACATTTTCCTTGTGACATTTTAGACTCTTAGAGAGTTTGGACGTGTTATGAAATCGCAATAGAGTTATTTTAGATTCCGCTTAAAGCGGACTCTTTCCAATATTCATTTCGTGTCAGTTATCCTATAGAAGCTCTGCTGTCACATTTTTTTAAAAAAGGAACTTAATTAATTTAATTAATTAATTAATTAATAATTAATTCTGGAAGCATCGCAGAGTTTAATTAAGAAAATGTACGATCAACAAATAATTTATTTCTTTGGCTCATTATTAGAAAGAAAGCGGTACATATTTGCGGCACGTTCAAATTCCATTAGTCTCGCCTGACAAATGTCCTATGCCGAATGTACATAAAGAAAAGCAATTATGCGCGGGTCTACCGGAAGGTGGTCGGGACTCCTGCCAGGTTTGCATATTAAATTCTATAGACGTATATGTAGAGCTTTTTTCGAGAATAATTAAATAACGACATATTTCTTTGTCTCTTTGAGGAAAATTAAAAATAGATAAACAAATAAAGTAATAAATCATATTGTTTTGTGCTGAAGACAGAAGTCACAGGAAAACGACGTTAATATTCTGACTTTTAGTTTCGCTCTTTTTATTATTACTTTTTGCATCTGGATTCTACAGTACGTTTATTGGATTTTTAGGGTGACAGCGGAGGACCATTGCTATGCAATGGAACGCAAGTCGGCATTGTCTCGTGGGGCGAGGGGTGCGCTCGTCCGAATACACCAGGTGTTTATTCTCGAGTGGATTTTTATCTACAATGGTTAAACAAGACTATTGTTCAAAACGGAGCTGCAAAATCCTACCAAAACATAATAACAATTATTTTCGCATCTTGTTGCCTGTATGCCTTATTAATATAACGTACTGATTGTCGTATACACGGAGAAAATTTTATAGTAAATATTGCTATGGTGTCACACTAGCTGCGGACTATCGAGGAATTTTAAGTTAAATTACTATGTTTATGGTAAAAATTACGTTATTTTATCGTTTTTAAAACAATAATTATAGTATTTTAACTTGAAATTCCTCGATGGTCCGCAGCTAGTGCGACATCATAGTAATATTTACTATAAAATTTTCTCCGTGTATGTAAGACTAACGAGTAGACGTTGTAATTTTGTGTTTAGCTGCAATGTATTGTTATTACGTTCACTGAATATTCTATTCTGAATAAAAAGTATTTATACATATACATATAAATTAAACATTAGTTTGTGTATGCAAAATTTTAATAATTTTAACTTATCGCAAATGCCATCTTACAAAATCTCCTGCCATTTCACAAAAATAGATAATCTTTTTAGAATCTATTACTTAGTGGAAAAAAGAGATATAATTATATTCTATTAAGATTAATTTAAAATCCTTGCTATTATAATAACAGGAGTTATACCTTGAAAAAATATTTCTTGCCGTATTACCAATAAGGAAAATATTTTTTATGCAACACGTGCATGGAAAGTGCCCCATTACGCACGCTACGCGTGCATGATAGACCACTTTCCAGGCACTTGCAACATAAAATAGGGAGTGTAAGCCGTGTGTAAAGATGAAAATTCCCGGGTGCGGTAACCGCACCCGGGAATTTTCATCTTACCTCACTTGTTACACAAATAACTATTTAATCTACTACTCACAATCAGTGAAAGAGAGAAATTTCGTTAATATTAAAATCAATTTAAAAAAATCAATTTAGGATTTTATTAAAATCAAATCAGGCTATCAATAAAAGAAGCCATTTGAGAAAATTACTTCTTGTCACCTCACAAAAATATCTTTTTAGAATTTATTATTTACTAAAAAAAAAAATATATTTTTTATTTATATTATTAAAACCGATTTAAGATTTCTGCTATCAATAAGTGGAGCTATATTTAGGAAAATTATTCCTTGCCACCTTACAAAAATATCTCTTTAGAATCTATTATTTAGTGGAAAAGAGAAATTTGGTCAAATCTCAATTTAGTTGGTTAAAATCAGTTTCAGATTCCTGCTATTAATAAGAGGAAACGTATACGATATTCCACCACCATTTCCTCCATTCCTCTTGATACGTATCTTGATGCAGTGGGAGGACACATGTCTCAGCACTATCCTGAGCGCCATCACTCTGCGACATTTTCAGGTTACTCATCTTTACTCTCTCTTTCATTCCCCTCGTATTTCCTTCTTCTGATTTTTTAATTTCCCTTCTCTTTTCCCTATCTCCTATTTAGCATTTTCTTATGCTTTTTCTCATTCCTCCGTTTCTTCTTTATCTTCATCTCTACGTTCTTTTATTTTTTCTTTACCTCGTCTTTCTCTCCTTCCTTCTCCCTCTCCTTCTTCTCCTTTTTCTCCGCCTCCTTCTTTTTCTTCTTCTTTTTCCTTTTTTAGGCAATGTTGTTCTATTTATAAAGCGTGTGTGTGTGGGACTCACGCAGAATGTAACGCGCAAATAATGTTTTTATATTATTTATGCCAGAAAGTCGGAGGAGGATCCACACAAAAGACGAAGTAAATTTCCGGCAATAACGTACAACAGGTTCTGAATGCATCCTTCTTGCGGGTCGTTCTCCTCGTCTCTCGCTCAAGAATGAACAGTTATGGGTGAAAGTAATCTGGGCCTGGCTGAGCCGCGCGTGTATCCGAGTCCCAACAGTCTACAGCCTGCAGCCAAACGAATCGGTACTGTTAATATTACTGTGTTAACTACGTGTATTTGGCGATATCGAGATGATTAAGAAATGTCAAATGCCATTTGTGATAACGACATTAGCGGCCAATTCAGTGTTCTTATTATCTAAAATAAATACAAAAAGGACATGAAATTCTCGCTATCGCCGTTATCGCGAGTGATATAAAAAACAGATTAGTCACAAGCATTGCTAACGTTATAGGGATCTGTAGATTGCCGTGTATTCTTTCGTATACACGGACTCGTTATAGGTAACGCGTTAAATAACGCGATAAATTATAAAATCCGTGGAAGACGCTGGATCTGAAATAAAAATCGGCGATACGCGGTTTTGCATCAAACGGGTTCCAGTGTTTATCGTGTTTAAGGTACAGTATTGTACCTAGGTAGGTATTTTCTAATTTTCAAAATACCATTGCAGATTGTCCGGCGCATTAAATATAAAACGCATCGAGGAAGTTTTAGCGCGCTACGATGTCCTTCAGCGACGTGGCATTTCTACTTACGATTTTACTTTTTGGGACTTACAATGCTCACGGTGAGTTCGCAACTTAAGTGTATACCTATTTAGGATTAATACGTATATTTTACTTCTGCAATAACGTACAATATGGCATATACTATAATATAATATTATGCATTCGGTTAGTAATTCCTGCGTTTGCATATGTTAACAAGCGAAAGTAAAAGCCGGCACGCCGCACAATGGGGACGCGACATTTTCATAAGAATCGCGAATGCATATATACAGAGTGTCTCGAAAGTAGTTTCCAGCGTTGCTTTATCTACGAGTTCTTTGATTAGTTTGGCATTTTGATTTTCCTTTATTAAGAATATATTTGGGTATGTATTTTCAGAGGTTTGTTGATGGTCGCTTTAAATATAATATCTCTAATAAAAAATAAAACTTTAAAAGGACAAACTAATTAATTAATTTCATTATATTTGTTATAAAATACTTTTCAAAGTGGAAATACTAATTCTTTAACATATAATGATTTTTACGCCTAATTGTATTTATCAATATAACGTGTGTGTGTTGATCACCATATATATGTATATAAAAAACTGCCAAAATTATAATTTTATATGTTTAGCTGCAATATATAATTATTATGTCTATTAAAGATCTTATTCTAACAACTTATTGTAAGTAAATACATCTATTCTTTAAGATAATTATATTAATAATATTTTCAAGTTTCTTAAATAAGGATTTTAATAAAATAACATCATTTTTTATAAACTGACATCTGATTTTATAATATTAAATCAATATATTGTTATAGGACTCATAAGACCGAAGCATGACAAAGTCGTTGTTTGCTATGTCGCATCCTGGGCAGCCTATAGGCAAGGAAATGGAGCATTCTCGTTAGAAAATCTCCGCCCGGAACACTGTACCCACTTAATTTACGCATTTGCTGGTTTAAACGCTTCGAACTGGACGATAAGAAGTCTCGATCCTTGGGCAGATATGGAAAAAGACGGTAATTGCAACCTCGATGTGAAATCAAGCTTACATCAAGTTTTACAGTAATTGTGAATTATCGTAGAAATTAACTAATTGTATAAGAAATAAGTTATTCAAAATTATTAATGTAACAGACCAAGTGAGTTATAATAACTTAATGTTATCGTAAAGAAATCGTAAAGAAATGAAATAAAAAAGGAACAATTAACGTTAAATTGTCTAGAAAAGTTACCAATTAATATTGATCAATTTTATTAGTAATGATTTAATTAAAGTTTCATAAATATAATTTGGAAATATCTGAATTATCTGAATGTGAATACAGGAATAGGCAACTATAAAAAAATGACAACATTCCGCAAACAAGGTCTGAAAGTATCACTCGGTATTGGCGGATGGAACGAAGGCAGCACAAATTATTCGTTGATGGCTTCGTCATCGGATCGTAGGAGGATTTTCATTGCCAGCACTGTCGAGTTTCTTAAGTGCGTTCTCTCATCGTGATATATTTATCTTAATTATTCTCCTATACGTTATCTTTCCATTATAGAAATCTTCAATTCTTGAAGCGGAGCCTTCTTTACTTAGAAAATTTGCCTTATGCAATGACTATGATCTATAATTTAATTGAACATTTACCGACAATTGAAACCTTATTTGGATCGATTATGTTTTAATCCTTTAATACCTTTTTTATTTGTATCGTGCTGTTATATTGTACTGTTGGATTTATTTCATAATTATTTTTGAAAAATTAAATTTCGTTGCGACAGAATGTACGGATTCGATGGACTGGATCTTGATTGGGAATTTCCCGGAAGTCGTGGCGGTGCTCCGTACGATAAACAGAATTTTGTTAGCCTCGTGAAGGTAAAAATATTTTATATTTTATTAGTTCTTCTGTTAACAGAGGAAATAAATCCGTTATTTATTCTGCGATAGGAATTGAAGGATGCCTTTAGGGAACACCGTCTTTCGCTAACCGCAGCTATAAGCGCCGTCAGTTCCACTATCGATATAGCGTACGATATTCCTGAAATTTCCAAATATCTCGATTACATTCATGTGATGGCGTATGATTATCACGGAGCATGGAATAAACAGGTTCTTCCAAATTCACCACTGCGAAGCAAAGATAGATTAGATGTGGTAAGAAATATGACATTTGTGTGGAAACATTAATGCATCTATGTACAAACATACCGCAATGAAGAATTAACACTGTTATTTAGCCACTTCACATTGCGTGAAGAAATCAACAAGCAAATTATTAAAAATTTACACGTTTGTTTTTTTTGTTTAATAAGGAAAATTTCTTAAGAGATATTCAGTTGAGGAACATTTTAAGAAACATACAGAATTAAAATAGGTACACTGTATAAATCCAATTGTGTTATTTCTACATGTCTAAAAATGACATATTTGACCGAAACTTGTTTTACATGTTGCGTGAACACGTTGAATCATATTAAATTAAAAGTCAATACGTTCAACCATGTTAAATGACGTGATTTAAAACGGCAAGAAATGTGTAAGAAGAGCTTCAGTTAAAATATCACGCTTGGATTTGCGGTGTAGAAAAGAAAAATACATACATAAAAAAAAATTTTAAAAATTCTTAAGTCAAAGTTGTTAATTTTGAAAATATTTATTTATTAAAATAAATATTATTTATTAAATATTTATTTATTATTATTATATTTTATAATCGACGTGGAATATAATACTAATGCCTATTTCTTTCTTTTCTAAATTATGAGTATAAAATGTTAGGGCAACATCGTTAATAAAAATATTCTTTATTGGTATTATATTAGTTTCATATTTATCTAGCATTTATTAGTGTTTCATATCTATACGAATATATATTATTACATATATAATCTGAAGCGTAGTGACATAATCGTATATCGATTGTATCTTCAACATTTAGGAACATACTATTACGTATTTGTTGCAACAAGGAGCCCCAGCCGAGAAACTAGTTTTAGGGCTGGCGATGTATGGAAGAACTTTCGTTCTTACAAGTGTACCAGAATCGCCTAAAATAAATCCAATTGGCCTGCCCAGTCTGGATATTGGATTTAAAGGCCCTTACACATCCGAAGAAGGTTTTATGGGATTCAATGAGGTATTTAGCTATATGTTTATATATTTATACTTAATCCACTTAATCACTTTTTATAAATTCTGCAATTTTAGAAGTGAATAACTGTTCCAATATTTTTTTGTAACGATAATTACTCAAAACATCTTATTCAAAACATGCAGCAGATCTTCAACATGCGAAATGAGTGAATTGTACATTTCTGTACAGATTTGTGAGGCGTTGGTGTTGTTTACGCAAAATTGGACAACTGGATGGGATAACGAGAGCAGCACAGCTTATGCGATTAATAAGGACCGTGTTGTAGTTTACGATGATCGCAAAGCCATGATGGCCAAGGTATTTCTTCTATATTTTTCGTGAAAAAGTAGTCTCTTACTGAACCGATTTTCTTCCCGATTACACGTTCCCAGAGAGGGATGTATACGAATCTCATATATAATTTATAATTATAATATATTATTATTTATATATTTATACACATTGTATATTATATACATATGTACATATTAATGATTTATAACTAATAATAATAGTATAATATAATTAATAAGTCTTTTAAGTTTTGGGTGTGTTAAACTTTTATATAGTCGTTTAGAATATTTTTCTTCAATAATATTTGGCAATTCTTTAAAATTATATAAAATATATCGAGATAAATTACTTTCTTAACATTGTCTAGCTTTGCTGTGGAAATGTTTTGAGAAATTTACATATATACATATAACAGCTTACTTGCACTTTGTGCTGTTCCACTTTTGATCGCGCGAGCTTGGGTGTCTGAAAAAATATCAATTAACTCTTATGCTAATGAATGCCACTCTTTTAGGTGGAATACGTAAAGAGGAAGAAACTGGCGGGTGTTATGGTATGGAGCATCGACACGGACGACTTCCGAGGAAAATGCACATCGCTGCACAATGACATGACTTTGCTCGATGGACGTGATTATCCCCTAATGAAATCCATTAACGCAGCTTTGGCAAATAACACGATACCATTCGAGGGAAACCAACAACCGGGCTCGTCGTCCGTGCAATTCCTTTCAAATATTGCGTTTGCGCTATCCATCGCAATGATTTACCTTTCTCGTTGATCTTTCTAACTCTATAAATCAACGAACGTAATTGATAAGTAATATTTGTAATAATATATTGATGACAATTAATAACTGACAAAAAGCGTTAGAACGTGCTTAACGCTCGCTCGTTCGCAGATTGTTCCTTTTGTCGATATTTAGATTATAACAATGTAATATTAATTTACGATATAAAATTTATATATGTGGATTATATGTGCGTGTTATATGCGAATAAAAAGAAATTATGTTCATGTGTTAGTAAAAAATACATTATACATATATGAAATATCAAGGGACACGGTAGTGTCTATACCGCCAAGTATATACCAACAGCAAGGCAGACCGTGTATATATCTGTACGAGCTGACTAGTTTAGAAACCCTTTTAGATTATCGAATCTCAATAAAGGCTGAATCGATCAAATTCTGAGTATAGGCTCAATCGATAGGTTGTATCACGAAAGAAATCACTCGAAATAGGTGGTTCTTGTTTCGCACATTAATTGTTAAATGCATTATAGTGCTCCCCGATACGAAACGTTTGATTAATTTGTTAGCACAGAAAACTACGAAAGAGATTACAAGACTATTATTTTGATTGTTAAAAAACGATATACATGACTTTTAATAGCACCCTCGAACTTTCAACTGTTTTGAAAAATAGAACAATTGTGATTATTTATACGGGACTATTGTATTTCTTTTCTTTGCATAGTAATATACATATATAATTTACAAAAATGTAAGGGAAGTTAGATTAAAAAATTGAAAATGTCACGAAAAGAAAGTCACAAATTTAATAAAGAAAAATGTGATATACACAGCGACGAGTACATGAAAAAGCAGCTTCTTTTAAAAGAAGTTATATTTTTTGTACAATAAAATGTCCACTAATTACAGCTTGAAGAATGAGAAGCTAATTGCTGTCGAAATTGATAAGAAGCATATAAATAAAAGAGGTGCTATGTATCTGGGCAATATTATGACATTATGATACTATTTGATTAAAGTGTTACTAAAAAAAATGACTCTTGATAAAGTATTATGCTTAAAGTATTATACACAAAATTTTGTTTATGACTTTCCACAAACACGTTAATGTAAAATTCCTATATAATGCATACATATTTCTTTTATATAAATATATTACTCTTTAGCATTGTTTCAAGTCTTCGATTGATTTACTTTCTATGTTTTTTTCTACGTAAAATGTATTAAATGTAATTTTATGGTTGCGAAGAAAGCTATTTTTGAATCTAATTGCATGTCATAATTTACCTAATTCTAGTACCTAATTCGCCACGAAGTGAATATAATTTCACAGACATTCTTTTATAAAAACTGAAATCTAACGAACGTTAAACATTAATAACACGCAACGCTATATTTTGTTTATATGACAAAGAAGAAGCGACAGAATCTATCACTAGATGGCCACTATCTTCACGACTACTCTTCGCTGCGTCCGATTTTTTAGATAATAATCGCGGGACTGTTTTAACAATGTCATAACGACTTTCTACGTTTCTGAAGCCTTTCATGGAGTTGTACGGGACGATATTTGATCACGGCAGACACGCCTGCGATATCAAGAAGAGATCTTGCTGGTTTCTTGCATGCGCTCATAGATCGATAGAGTACGTTTATATAGCGCCTGGAAAGTTTGTACTTTCGGAAGCGGGTGTTTAGGGACACGACTGAACATCGCATCACTTTAACGTATAGAGTTTTAGTAGATCTGTTCAGTAGGTGTTGTTCCACGTTTATCGTAAGCTTTAAGTAGCTTTCGTGTATCAGACTCCCGATTGCGCGTGCACGTTCGTGGCTCACGATCACACGGATTTGCATGCCTGCACGGTCCCGAGTCTTCACGCCTCTCGAAGTACCGCGAGATCATTTTCCAAATTGGGGGGTAATCGAATCGGTCAAAGAGGGTAATTTGACGCTTCCACATGCAGGCACTGCAGATGGCGGTATGCCATTTTTTTGCCTCTTGGAACTCAATTTTTTGCAATTTGAAAATTGTTTTGTCCCAATGCCTTTTTGGGTCTCTTGAAGACTTTATAGATCTGCTGGCTGGCTCGATTGTCAAGTCCGCGTTGACGCACAACATCACACTTGTGACACTTGGCAAAATTGTGAACTACAAGACGTTAGCGTTATTTTTCATTTTAGTGTTAGTGTTTTTATATTTAAAATAATTGCTGTAGTGTAGTGTTATATATAAAACTGTCATTTTGTTTATAATTTTATATATGTAAAAGTATATATATTATTTATACTTACTATAAAAGAGTTTAAAGTGTTACCTCCTTTTTGTCAATATTGATACAAGAAAACTCATTCAGTCTTTAATATTCATACTTTTGTAAATTTAAAAAAATATAAGAAATGGTTCAAGAAAGAGAAAATACTGAAGATCTTTGTTTCAACATGTTCTTTATAAATAATTTAAGAGCATATATCCACTTTCATAAGGCAACAAATTCGTCAAATTGGGTAATAAGCATTTTAATTACAAAGCCCGCATTTCCGAATTTTTCAATCTGTATAAATGTATTCAGAAAATAATGCAATAATGTAATTTCAGAAAATAATGCAGGGTTATGTGTGTAGTTGAAAGTTCAAGGATGCTATTATGAAAATCTGCGCAAAGTTATGTATATCGACTTTTAACGATCCAAATAACAGTCTTAATATCTTTCGTAATTTTCTGTGCTATTAATTAAAATTTATTAAAATGTTAAGCCTGGTCTACAATGGATGTATTGAGTCGTAAGTCATAAGAATTGGCCAATCACAGTCTTGCGGTCGAAGAATAATGAACTGTGATTGGCCAATTCTTACGATTTACGACTTAATACCACTTAATACATCCATTGTAGACGAGGCATTACTTTTATCAAGAATCCGTGTCGGTGGAAAATCGGTGGATTAAGCGCAGGCCGGTGGATGGCCGGTGGAACATTTACTATACACCGATGTTATAAAACCGTATTTATAAATTTATACCAAGAGATGTGGACTTATTATAAATCCGGTTTTAAAGAAACATGTATAAACGCTAAAAGCCATCGCACACAAAATGCATAGCTTAGCATAAGCGTAGGCTACACTGCGTAGCATAAGAGCGCTAAACCAATGAGCATTCAGCATAAAGTCGCCATATTGATTTACATGAGATGCTCATTGGTCCAGCGGTCTTATGCTATGCTTATGCAGCCTATGCAATTTTGTGTGCGTCGTGCGATGTGCGATGGCCTTTAAGTTGTTAAAAATGGCGTTTGCTGGTAAGGACGCTTCGCCTCTGTGGCACAATGGGCCGACTCCTGGTGCATTTTATCACTTTCCCGGCAGCGAGTACGGCACCGGTGGATTCCAGAAATCACAGTACGTTTTCATCCGATTATTTACAAACGTTTCCATCCGCTTAGTTTAAAGTTTCTTGACGTACAAGTTTCTTAACCTGTACATTCCTGTGATGATGCAAATCTCGCATGTCATCTTCAGTCATCTTCTCTTTTACAGAGCGACAAAGTAAAGTAAAACTCAAAATACTTAAGACCGGTACTAGATAAACTTCCGAAATGGTATGAAGATATGATAAGTGCTTACTTTAACTCTCATTCTATTGTTTACAGGTCTCCTATAACAACTGGCACATCTGTCATTGGCATACAATTCAAAGATGGAATTGTTATAGCGGCAGACGTCCTAGGATCTTACGGATCGCTCGCTCGTTACAGAAATCTGGAACGTCTTATGAAAGTTAATGATAACATCATCCTTGGTGCGTCCGGAGATTATGCGGATTTTCAGTGCATCAAGAGCTATGTGGAAAAAAAGATGTGAGCCTCAGCATAGTTTTTTTTTTTTTTTACATGTCTTTAATATTCTTCAAATAATACATCTTAGTTTATTACGTAGAGTGCTATGTAATAAACTAATAACAGTTTTGTAAAGTTATTGCACAATATAAGAATATATTAGAGTTTCTTATAAGTATCAAAAGCGCTAATTTACGACAACACTTTTGTTTCAGTCTCGAGGAGCAATGCTTGGATGATGGATTTAGTTTAAAGCCAAAGGCATTGCATTGCTGGCTAACGCGTGTCATGTATAATAGACGATCAAATTTCGATCCGTTTTGGAACAATTTTATTATTGCTGGTTTGGAAAATGGAGAACCGTAAGTGTATGTTTCCTCAACACACTTCGTGTCTTCGAGTACATCCGTAAATCGCAGTTTTGCCTTTTCAGATTTTTAGGAACTGTGGATAAGCTTGGGACAGCTTACAACGATCCTGTTATCGCGACTGGATACGGTGCTTACATGGCAACGCCTATATTGAGAAAAGCTTACGAGGATAATAATCAAATGAATAAGGAGGAAGCTATCGAACTTCTGTACAAAGTAATGCAAGTTCTTTTCTACAGAGACGCAAGATCTTTCCCAAAGGTAAACTATTAAAATTCGTACGTGTGTAATTAATAATTTTAATTGTATTGTCAACAATCTGCTCTGTTTTTTAGTATCATCTTGGGATTGTCACAAAAGAGAACGGAGTCGAAATACAAGGACCGCTAACTTTAGACAGTTATTGGGGACCTGCTGTTTTGTAAAAAATTATGTTTTCTTATTCCTTTAAAATAAGTTATAATAAAAGCGTCCATGGTGAAGATCGATTCTCTCTTGATGAATAAATTAAAACAAGTTTTCATCAATTATACATTTATTTGCATTACATATATACATGTAAGGGTAAGAAAATATTATTTCCAGTAACCATACTAATAATCTTCGTTATAATAACATAAATTCTATTTAATATTTATTTTTACGCGTAAAAACGCGACATAATACTTGCAACATTAAAACGTATATGGAAATTAATTTATATGTATACCGGAAATAACATTTAATAGATACTTTTTGTATAAATAACAATAATACCGATTATAGACTAGAGCGTTAGTACTTCGCATCCAGTATCTGTTATTAAAATTGTATGTTCAACTTGAGCTGCCCTAGAATTGTCGACAGTGCAAGCTGTCCAGCCATCTTCCAGAATTTCGATCTGCGTTGTTCCTTGACTTAAAGCTGGTTCGATGGTGAATGTCATGCCTGCTTTCATTTTCTCAGGAAAATCATTTGCTGCAAAACAAAAAAGAGAGATCAAAATATCAGTATACATATAAGACGATTTGACTTATCTACGGTATGTAGCAATCGAGAAATATTTTATCTAAAAAACAAATCAGATAATTTCCTATTGGTCGTTCTATGGTCGTACGGGCTAACACGCGATAATATTAATAATGGAGTATTTTCACTGTACCAAAATGATAAACATCTGGAGCACCGTGGAAATAAGTTCCAATACCATGACCCAAAAGTCCAGGTATTACATTCAAATTGTGTTTATTTGCTGTCTCTTCTATCACATTACCTGAAAAGAAATGGAAAGATTATATACAAAATATAAAAATAAATGTAATAGCACGTCAACGAGTCGACTTTTAATTATATACATATCATTACCAATATTACAAAAACGTTCGTCTGGTTTGCATATTTCAATAGCTGACTTCAAGCACAATTCCGTGACCGTTATCAATCGTTTGCCTTCTGAATCTACTTCACCCACTTGAAACATAGCTGAGCAATCGCCATGATAACCATTAAGATATACCTACTTAAACAAAATTTCAAATATTTTAATAACTTGTAACATATTTTCGGACTGATAAAGAAATACGACTTCATAGAACATTTCTCATTAAAGATAAAGCTACTCACTGTTATGTCAACATTGAGCATATCTCCTTCTTGTAAAGGCCTGTTGTCTGGAATACCGTGGCAAGCGATATTATTAACACTCGTACATATAGACTTGGGAAAGCCACGGTAGTTGAGCGGACTGGGATAAGCTCCATTGCCAATAATCATATCGTGTATTTGCTTGTCAAGAAAATCGGTTGTGATACCTGGCTAGCATATAATAATTTCGTCTTACATTCAAGCTTATTGTAGTACATGATATATGATGTGTATTTAAGCTATTAATAATCCTTAGGAATGCGTTCTAGAAAGTCGAAAAGACAAGAAATATATATAAGTGGACGTTACTCGATCTTAAAATATTACTTCTCAATTAAATATTGATTTACAACATACATGTAACATTCTTATGCACTTGGATTTTAAAAGTATGCAATAATGAATGATGAATTGATATGAACTTTTCTTATTTCAGTTTGTAAAACTTGCGCCCAAAACTCATGCATGTCTTTCAGATATTCTTTGTGTAGATAGCTTCAGATTCATTGTATCTCTTTTCATCTACAAATTATTTATGATCTAAAGCTGATGACTGAGGTAACATGAATCTAGATTCCTATACAATATGTGGAGAATAATTCACCTTAATCAATGCATTAACTTGACGCAGAACGCGACCAGCAAGTTTACAACTCTGCCTCATACATTCTATTTGACATTCATCTTTGATCTCGGGTGTCGCCGGTCCATTTTTAGGTTCCGCCGACTGGCTGTAGGATGGCTGGGGTATGTATGAAGGTACGATGACTTTTTCAGAGACCAGCCAAGGTTGGACTACGGCGTATTTTCCGAAAGAATTGTCATTTTGGGTATCGACAAATCTGGGTATTTTTACACCTCCAGCCTAAAACAAACATCTTATAGTTAAATTCTATTGCTTCGATACAGATATCTCTTACGTTAATCTGATCTAATACAAAGAAAACAATGTTATTATATAATCTGATGACAAAAAGAAAGCAATATTACTATTCAAGGGATCTAAAAGATGAAAGAAAACCATTTTATTTCTATTGTTCATAATAAGAAATTATATAGTGAAGTTGAACAATGTAACTCCAAAAAGAAACAATTAATAACAACATGTATATGGTCTTCGCCGCAGTTCTCTTTTACAAACCAAATTATTCAAGATAAAGATATTTAGCTACGATGAAAATAAATTAATGAATGCACATTTAATTTATAGGTGAAAAGAAACGTACCCTTGACATAGTCTTGAGGATGTTCAGAAGGTATGATTTAGAGGATTGTGCCATTTGAATGATGTCTCTGCTCGAGCGCATGTTCCTCGATATTTACCTCCGTTCTACTTGCGATGTGATCTTGTTTGTCGCAAATCAAATCAATTCGACATGTGATCTGGATGTGGATGTGATTTCTCCCTTCCGTAAAAGTTTCGTTCTCTGTTTTCTCTCTATCCTTTTGGCCAATTCGCGCATGTGCACGAGAAACGAGAACGTTAATAAACCAAGCGTTGAACGAATAAAGAAAACTAACCTATGATTATGATCACAGTACACAGCATTTGACAGCATGTGAAGGCGCTTACGCTTCTTCTCTTCTTCTTTCTTATTTTTTATTTGCTCCTGCCGCTTTTCAGCGGACAATACGGCCAGATTTGCCGCTGTTTGTTTATAACAAAGCTTGACTCACTGATTGCGTAGCGAAGTCTGAATGGAATTAAATTAGTGCAAGTCTGAGTAGAAATTGTGATTGCATCAAGCAATCTTCAAAAATTTATTCACAATCATTACAAAACACGTCCACGACTCAAGCGTGACTGAAGGAGTGAAGGAAGGCGCTTACGCTTCTAAAACCTTAAAAGGAGCAAATAAAAAAAATACACAGTATATGACAGTGTTGGGAAATCGAGAAACAAGCAAACAAGTCTCTATCAGTCTCTATCCAAAAGAAAGAAGAGGAAACTGATTAATGGGAATGCAAGAAGCTATGGAGGAATTTCTTCATGCCTCAAAAATCCCCTTGGTAACAATTTGCATTTGTTGCAGTCTCAGAACACTTTATTGTTATTTTACATTCAACGTTTGTTTTATCTGCTACGTTATATTGCAGTCCCAGTTGCCGCCTTACCAAACGATTCGCGTCGTCATGGGAAATCCGACGTGCGACCTGGATTCCGCTGTATGCGCCCTGGTCCAAGGATTGTTGGAGTACCTTGACGCTAAGAAGAATGGATTCGCTAACGTCACCGTAATACCAGTCATGAATATCCCGGAAAGAGAGTTACGCATTAAAACGGAAGTGATTTACAGCCTAAAATCCCATGGCATCCCGTTGAACTTGCTGACATTTAGGTAAGCCCCTCGAATTCTGATAAAACAGTCCGAGCTTTGTGCTATTTGATTGCTATTATTATATTACTCTTGGCAGAGATCAGATTGATTTGCAAAATGTGCAGAGCGACGCTAACAGGAGGTTTGAGCTGATTTTGGTCGATCATCATACTCTCGAAGAGGAAGATTTGGCGTTGAAATCTTCAGTCGTGACAATTATCGATCATCGGCCGTTGAATCCAGCCTGGGAGTGGCCCAACATACTGTTAAATGTAGAAATCATTGGGAGTTGTGCCACCCTGGTTGCACGCAATGTTCTACAGAAGTATCCTGATATAGTGGACGAGCAACTTGCGAGCCTCTTGCGAGGTAAGTATTATATTTGGATAATAGATTTTTATTTAACAGACACAAAACGATTTTTATTATATAGTATTCAATATTTTCTACAGGTCCAATATTAATCGACACTTATAACATGTTGGAACGAGCAACTGCTACTGACGTCGACGTACTAAATGCTCTTGAACAACTAGGTAAACTCACGTCTGACAGAACTGAGACATTTAACAAGATTATGCATGCAAAAACAGACTTCACTGGATTAACTCTCGAAGAAATTATGATTAAGGATCTAAAAGTGACACTTGGAATACCTCTCGTTGGATTTTCCATTTTAGTAGAAGTGTGTTGTCTAGAATTTTTTATTAATATTGTGAACTAATTTTTTAAACTAATTTAGAACGTAATTCATAAATAAATTCTAGAATTTCCTCATGCTTGAAAATGCGGAAGAGGTCATTGAAAAGTTTGCCAACGAAAGAAATTGCAATGTCGTTGTTCTCATCGGGCAAGGTATGACGAAGGAACGTGTATCTAGAGATATTGCAATCTTTTCAACATTATGTAATCAATTTGCGAATGAAGTAAGTATTATTCAATGTAATTGTCATAAAAATTTATCTCAGCACATTCCAGTATACATATCCTTTTACTTTTTTCACAGATAATTCGAGCGTTGGCTGAATCTACTCGGCCATCTCTAGATTTAGAATTTATCAAAGAAATTCGAAAAGAGAAATATATCATCTATTTGTACAGACAAGGAAATCTGAAGGTAACACGCAAACAGATATTACCGATTGTACACAGAACGGCGTTATTGCATGGATTTAAGACTGGTCCCTGAGCCGAGAACTCCGCGTTGACGTACCGTCGCGGTAGAAACAAGAACTCTCTCCAATGGAAGAATAATAAGCGAGAAATGTTGAGAATTGACACGTTGAGAATTCTTGCGTAGTATTTCCAAATAAAAAGATATTTG